TGAAGCCGGGGATTGATCCCCGGGCGTAAAATTTTAGTGGGCGTAATTTTTCTTTAGTTCTTTATTTAATGCTTGGTGATAGAAGTTAAGAAAACATTTTTATTTCACATTATTTGTTTATGATGTTGTAGTGATGACGTTGGAATTAATGAAAAAAAAGGTGGGTAAGTGGATGTCGCTCTGCTGTACAGTAGGTTACAAGTGGGTCACTGTATAATGGATGCTTTTAAATTTGAATTCAATGATACAATATCATTGTATAAGAAAAACGATTCTGAGCGAAGACGGTATGTTAGTCTAGGTTTAAGACAAATTATATACATATCTATGGTATTAAAAAAAATTGACCTATAATGAATTCCAAATTAATCATATCACAATATCCATTAGGTACTTATAACACGTTATACACCAACAACAAACCCTGATACTATCATATATATATAATAGTACACTTTAGAAGTTTCAAGTAGGTACCCACGAATAATATTATATAATCACAACAAAATAACTAGGTTTTTTAATATGTAATTTCGTCCAAATTTGAACATAAAATGACTATAAAAGTAAACTGTGATTGTATATTTTTTAGATTTTTCGGTAAGAGAATTAACTACTTACGTGGAATCTTGTTTTAAATTTTCAATCCTTAGCTATAAAAACTGAACATTTTATAATTTATTAATTACGATGATTAATAATTTACGAGATTTTGAAAAATTCTATCAAAATTCGATGTTAAAATGCTTATAAAAAAAAATTGTGCCTATGTATTTTTAATATTTTTCAACTGATATTGTAACAATATATCAGGAGCCTTGTATTAAATTTTTACACTTTTTGGCCCAACAGATAAAACTTAATTGATATTTATAGAAAAAAAAAACTAAAAAAATTGAAAACTGAAAATGTCCGTAAACGGCTCAAAAAGTGTCAAAATATTTTCAAAATTGTAGGGTGTATAGGAAATGCTAATATAAACATTCAGTGAAATTTTCATGTATCTACAGTAATTCGTTTTTTAATTACAACAAAAAAAGGAAATTGCCACATGAGAAATCGAGTGAATATCCAATGTTGTAAAAATTTGAATTTCAAACGCTCATAAAAATTTAATTTGACTTTCCGGTAGAAATTTTTTTATTGATAAAGGTAGACAATCTTATGAGTAATCTTGTATTAGATTTTCAAATCTTAGATTTAAAAAGAAAAATTTTTACGAATTCTTAACTCAAAATAATTTGCTAATTTTCGTGATTTTTCCATATTTTGTCAATTTTTGAACTTTAAATGCTTATAAAAAAAAATTGTGACTAAGGATTTTTAATATTTTTCATCTGCCTTTGAAACAACATATTAGGAGCCTTCTATTAAATTTTCAAGCTTTCGCAACCAACAAATAAAATTTTATTGATATTTTTAGAAAAAAAACTAAAAAAAAATGGAAAATGAAAATGTCCCTAAACAGTTCAAAATAAATCAAAATATTTTGAAAATGTTATCGTGTATAGAAAATGCAAATATAAACAACCAGTGAGAATTTCATGTATATACGGTCATTTGTTTTAAAGTTACACCAAAAACCAGAATCGATTTTTTGGAAAACCGATTTTGCGTAAAAATTCCCGTTTTTCCTTAATTTTTATGTTGTTTTTCCCGGCGCTCTTGAAAACTACTGGGAAATTTAAATTTTGACCTCCCCAATGCACCAACGATATTCACTTTCCAATCGAACAAGATACTGAAGTCGAAAATCGAAGCATTATTTCGACTACTTATCGTGTACACAGACACAAAAAAAATAAATATAAAAATAAAAAAAAAAACACACATCATTGTAAAATCAATACATTCATCGTTTCACTCAGAATCTAAAAAATAAAGTTAATGGTATTATGAATAGGTAGATTCGTATTAGTACCTATACTAAGTATATACTGGTATACTGGCATTAGCATACCTACTGCAAGCATTTACAACTAATATACTATAATTATTAAGATTCTGAGTGAAAATGTAACTAGTAACTATACATAGGCATTTATTGATGCTGTGTTTTCGTTAAAATTTCTGATACCTACACAATAACTGTTATAAGATTATCAATCAACGTACGATACGTATATTATATCTGTATATTAAAAATTATGTTAATATATAGTTTATAATATTATATATTATAATATTTACCAAGATACATTTGTTTATGTTTAAAAAAAAGATTTGATTTTAAATATTTACTTTTTCATTTTTTCTATTATAAATTGTTTAATTAAATACAATTTTATACTGGCCTAAATTGTGTACCCTAATCAGAATAAAAGATTTTATATTTTACCATAAAAATCTATTATAATTGAAGGCTGAGGCGCATAGAACCAAAACAGCAAAAGGGTTTTTATACAGGATATAGGTAAATAGTTAAAGTTTTGATTATTTTTCAACATTTATATATAACTAATATTATTATTATTTCTAATAATAAATACAATTAAGTAACCACTACAGTATTTCCAGTAATTAAAAATGTATCAACAATATGTTAACTAAGTTTTTAAATTTAAAGTGTTTTTGGTGTGATAGACTATCACTGATAGTTTATTAGTATAAACTTGGTTACACCACAGTCCACAGAATATATTAATTACCTACTATATATTATTATGTGTTTAAAAGTTAATAAGTATGTTTGTAATTTTAGTTCCAGTTATGATAAAACAATTGTAGGGAATGATATTGTATTTTCAATCTTGGTCTATGATTGGGCTTAATTTTAATATTTTCCCCGGGCGTAAAAATTCTTAGATCCGCCTCTGAGACCCAACATCATGTTGGTGCGCGGGCTCGTTTCCATGTTTTTCGGAGATACAAACTTCAAATCACGGTTTAAGATAGACTATCCGTGCTTCAGATCAAGGTGTACAGTATTCAATATACCTTGCCACAGCTGATCATACTGATCATAGTATCAGAAATTAGAAGTATGATAAACTCAAACCTTGTTTTCGTCCTATTTCATGTGCATTGCCTTGTGTTTTTGTGCATACTGCATTGCGCCATTGCATAAGATTATAAATGTAACATAATATTGTAAATACCACCTTTTTTTTTCCATGTATAACCACTACATGAGGGCCTTGCTGTTTGCACATTGCTTGACCCTCATGTAGCATCGTTTATTTAAAAGCCAAATGTTTACATCTAGGTTGGGCTCTTACGGGGGGATGGTACACTTTCCTCGGCGAATGCTGGTGTGTAGTGTGTACCACAACCCCATGATGCCTCACAATAGTATCTACAGGTGGCCGAGGCCACAATGGGGATAATCGGGGTGGACCCCCCCCCATATCCCCTCTCGTGTCATATTTAATTTTAGGCTTTAAATATTTTCCTTGAGGTGTCTTCTTGGGTCGGCTTGAGCATCCCGTGTACAGTAGGGGATCCAGAAGTCACCCAAGGGGGGGGGGGCGAATTAAAAAAATTAAATTGTCTTTTTGTTTAGCCAAATATTATAATATAAAATAACGTTAAAAAGACAGCCCAAGGGGGGAGCGGACACCCCTTCGCCCTCCCCCCCTCGTATCCGCCACTGCCCGTGTATGGTGATCCTCTTCACGGGCTAGCAGGCCAGCCGTCCTGGGATTATGGGCCTCCACTTCTTGAGCCGGCCGGAGCCCGCCGCTCTCGTATTCCCGTTCTGGGATTCATCCATCGTCCGCAGCCTGGCGATCCCACTCCTCAATTTCCTCCAACGTCAGGATGTCCTCTACCATTTTATAGAAGAGTCTGAACATACTACTGAAAATAAGGCACTAAACATAGCTCTTTTATATTAATATATTGTTCTAATGTTTTATCTAACTGTTCTATGTGTATAACTATTATATTTTATTTTATATAAGTAATAAGTAGGTATAATTATTAGTTATTATACATTTTTTTTTTTATAGTTTGTTGTAATAATAATAATAATTTATTATTTCATAATAAATGTATAGAAGGATCAATTTTTTCAATTAATTCAAAAAATTCGTTTTTCACTATTAAGTCTGGCTTCAATATTAAATACGATTTTGCGGAAGTAGAACATACTAAGTACAAACGGCAATATAAAAACCACCTAGAAAATACCGTAATGCAACCGAACATACAAGTGTTCTTATCACTATTCACTAGCCACCCGAAAAAAATAGTCACCTATATAATAAAACAATATAATAATATAATTTATGTATAATATAGTTTATTGCCTATATAATTTTATATACCTATTTACCTAAATAGGTATCAGGTAGTAGCTGATTAGTGGAAAAGTATTATAATTGAAGTGGCAACTAAAATATAAAATTTAATTTTCAAATTTTATAGAATTGCGGAAAATTTGAAAAATTGCAACCAGGACCCTTAACGATGTAAATTTTTAGGCGCTCAATCTTTGCTCGTTAATTTAATTGTACCCATCTGATTTCGTCAATCGTCATAGATAATATATAGTATTTAACTATATATTATCTATGGATTTCGTATTGAATTATTATCAAAAGACATAAATTATATTAATTTGTTTTAAATTGTTTTTTAAATTAAATTAAATTAAATTGTTTTTTACTTTTTTTGCCGCTTGACACATTATTTCGTCGTTCAAGCAGTTCGACCGGGACTTTCGACATTATCACGCGCGGCAACACTGTACGCTTATTTCTTTTGTACAGAATATTATATTCATATACTGTCTCCTTGACTTGAATGCCGAACTGTGATTTAGATAATAATACCGAAGTCGGTCTTCGCGAGTCTCATTGTTGATCACAACACGTTTTTTCGTACCTAACCTCGAGGCCCGTCCCGTTGTTTGTTGTTCGACCAGCAATTTTTTTTTAACGCATCCGGTAAGTAACGAAAGACGTCAAGTCTGTGGCGCATTCGCCTCGAATACGTAAACGATCCTAAAGTGTACAGACTTTCAATAGCGCTAACGCTTGTGTTTTATTGCAGGAAACATGCCTGAATTAACGGAAATCGATGCGACGAAAAAGGTGAGCTTCGAGGATCCCAAGAAGGACGCTGCAGACAGTGACAGCGATTCGAGCGGCGTGGATGTTGCAACCGGTAAGGGTGGTGAGGGAGCAAGCGGCGTCACCGCCGAAGACTTGTCCAACAAGGCCAGACAGTCGAGAGGCGAGAAAAAAGCCAGGAAAATCATATCTAAACTTGGTCTCAAGCAGGTGCGTTGTAGGAAATTATTGTTTGGTTATAATTCTCGGTGTTCGTCAACCCTCAAATTGCTATTGGTTTTAGATCCACGGAGTCAATCGAGTGACCATTCGCAAGTCCAAAAACATCTTGTTCGTCATCAACAATCCTGATGTCTTCAAGAACCCAGCTTCCGACACTTACATTGTGTTTGGTGAGGCCAAGATCGAAGATTTGAGCCAGCAAGCGCAAGTTGCAGCTGCTGAGAAATTCAAGTCTGCCGATATGATGCCGAATGTATTGGACAAAGATGGTGCATCCAGGCCAATGGTCAGCCAGCCTATCCAAGAAGAAGAAGAGGAAGAAGGCGAGATTGATTACAAGGGAGTAGAAGAAAAGGATGTGGACCTAGTTTGTGCGCAAGCACAAGTGACCAAACGCAAGGCCATTGACGCGCTGCTAAGGAACAACAATGATATTGTCAATGCCATTATGGACTTGACGATGTAAAACTAATATACATATATAACGTTTTAAGGGAGAGAATTATCATTGTTTATATTTTAGACTGATAATTAGATCCATTAATAAATAAGCAGGTTTACTACATGATCTTCTGTAAAATTGATTATATCCTTCACGTTATTTGTATATACTATTTTTCGGTACAATACAAAACTTTCTCTGGCAACAATATCGAGTTACTTCATTTTTATAGCAACCTTCTAAACATGCTTTGATTTATTTTATCTCTTATCTCAGCTATATATTATTGTCTCTTAAAATTAATTACATAATAATATCTTATAAACAATTTTTATGGTGTTTGTTGAATTACTTTTTAAAATCACATTTAAATAGTATCTTTGTGTTGTTTGATAGACAGTTATTTCAATAATCTTGGTTTTAAGTTACAATAATAAAAAATGTAACAAATAATATAAATAAAACTAATTGTTAACATCATCTTGTTTGAGTTTATTGTCAAATACACAGCTACGATGCAACAAAATTACAAATATTTGAACAAAAAAAGAAAATTATATATTAAATTATTATAAAACATCAAGAGTTATAATATATTATTTTATGCATTATTTCCATGACATTGAGGTTAAACTACAATTTAGATATATTTGTTTATAAATTAGTTATGACTTATAGTACAAGTCTTATACGGATGCCGAAGTCTGGCACTTTAATGTAGTAAAGAAAAATTGCTTTAAGTTATAACCTAGCGCCCATTTTACGCTGCATTGGTGTGGCCCTGCCAAACATGTATTTTTAGTGGACATCAAACCTCGGTAATTGGCTTTGGGCACACAACACAAAATAGTGAACATTAACTAAAATATATTTCGTAAATGCCACAATTTATGAATATGGTTCATTCTTTATGCGACTAACTGTTTTCACAAATATTTACATTTAATTATTATTTACAAATTCCATGCTTTTTTCATTGAAGTCAACTATGATAACTAGTATTGGTCAAAATATGTTAAATTTATTTTACTTGTTGAACGAAGCTAGGAAGCTAGTGGTTTTACAATAAATTTGTGTTCATTTTTATTTTTTTCCTCTTCTTACATACTGCATACAAAATGTCCACTAGAAGAAGTTATTCGATTTCAATATATAGTATCCGATCTTTTAGCAAATTGCATCAAGATGGTACTTTAGAGAGGTCGTTTTTCGATTTTATCAATAGTTATTTAATGCCACAGTAAAAACCACCAAAAAATTATGAAAAACCGCTAAAAATTGGATTTTAACTTCAAACTCATAGAAACGAATAAAAAATATTATTATAATATTAATTCAACTTACATAATATAATAATTAATGACAATATAAAATATCTAGATTGACAAACCGTCTGCTCAGAATCGTTTTTCTTATACAATGATAGAATATCATTGAATTCAAGTTTAATACAATGCATTATTCAATGACCCACTTGTAACCTACTGTACAGCAGAGCGAAATTCACCTACCCGCTTTTTTAAGTTTTCTAAGTGCTTGGCTGACGGGCGTGTGGCCGTTCAGTATAAATAAATGTGTGCAGTTGGTTTTGAATTTCCAACATTTGTTGGTTCGTAAGAAGGATATTACTTAGTTATCATCAGCCATACATAATACTGCATAATCAACACTTGCTTGTTTTGATTAATATTAAAGGTGGCAAGACACCAATGAACACTAGACTTTGAACATTTTATAAATGTGATATGATGTCGATATAAACTTAAATCTTAATTAAATATTTTTAATTTAATCATTAATTTAGTGTCTATTCAATTGATTCATAAAAGAATGTTGTAATATATAAACGTAGGTAAGCTGATTTATTATATTGTATAGGCTATTGCTTTTTATAATAATTGTATTTGCAATTACTTTTAATAATAAAATGATTGTGATTTACTAAGATTAATTGACAATGTGAGAATAGTCTTCGCTCAATATATATATTATATTGTGAACATGGACACACGGTACATAATTAATAGTAACAAAAAATAATTTAAGAAGTATCGCTTGCAGGCTAGACTTAACTGCTTAATTCTTTCAAGATCACTCTTAGTATCCTACATTTTTGATACTTTTATTTTCATTTATTTTACTAAAAACACAACAAATTTTTAAGTGCTTTTAATAGTTGTATTTAGTTATTATAGTATTATTAAAATGTTCTATTGTATTATTTACTGCGCCCAGAACACATAATATTTTTTGAATTCGCAATTCATCATAACGTACATACTGTTAGGTCAACTGAATGATTTTGTATGAAAATACATACAAATAAATATTCATAAGGCTTAATATAGGTTAAATTTGTTAGTTAGGATTTACAGTCAAAAGTAGAACAACATTTTTAAGTTGATTGTAAATTGTAAATTTATATTTAACTAGAATTAAAAATTCTTGTGTTATATACATTTAATGACTTTAAAAATGTATGACCTATAACAAAAGGTACTAAATATGCACATGTTTATTTTATTTTTATAACAGTATAACCATTTTTAATAACATCATTAAACATTATATTTAACATTCCCAATAGCGTTTATAGTTGAATAATGCATTTATTATGTAAATAGTAATTATTGAATTGATTTAGATGAAATATCAAATAATATACAAGTTTTTTTGAAACAATAATATTCTCAAAAGCTAATATTATTTTCTCGCATTAAATTTATGATAATTATATTTTTATAAGTAGGTACAATAGATGCATCATATTATAATTTAAGCCATATACTCTGTGTCCTGTTTTCTTTCTTTTATACAAAATAAACTAGGATATTAAATAACATGACTAATGACAAAACAAGTATAATTTAATAGTTTTCTTAACAAAAAATATATGATAATGAAAATATAAAAAAAAATGGACGTTTTAAAAAAAAATTATTTATAAACTAATGATATATAATATACTAAAATTATAATAATAAAAAAAATAATAATGTTTATAATATTATTATATAACTGTATTAATTAATAATAATTAGCACTTAGCAGTGTTATTTGGAGAATTCTAAATTCCGTATAATATGTATAATATATGTACATACAAAATCATAAAGTAGTTAACACTATATAAAGAAAAACCACTCACAATCGAGTAAGCAAATCTAAAATCACAGAAAATATTTTTTATAAATAATACGCTTCTTTTTATCAGAACACATAATTAATAATATATAATTTATAATAATAAATAATTTTTATAAAATTTATCGTAGCCCAGTAATATTATAGTATATTATTATAATGAGAAAAAGAGTTTTACCAAATACGCGTGTCGTCGTCGTGTCATGCCGGACACCCGCTGGACGAACGATTTTGAATTTGGCCCCGTTTCGGATTACGGACCAAAATATATTATCATCATAATTATGTAGGCAATGTTAGTGTAGAAGATCGAAACAAAAAACCACCTGAAAAGAATAATGAAATCGACCCGAGAAACTTCAAGTCACGCCTATAATGCAGTACCTATAATATTATAGTACAAGTAAAATATGTTGCGATAGCACAATCTGACAAATTTCTAATGGGAAATGGGGATACGAAAATAGGGAAACGACTACCTAATTCAGTCGCTCTTGGATTGTATGCGATCGATGGAAGGAGAAATTGCAGGGCTATGTTGGATCCGCTGCCGGAGTATCTCTTATTACTGTTCACGATTATAACGAGATGTTTCACTTTCGAAAAATTAAGCGATTTGACTATTTGAGGGCCGGAGACGTGTGCCACGGAATGGACAAGAAGCGACATTTTCGAACGGTCCGTACATGGGTACTGCAAAGAAATACTGTCTATCATACAACAAATAACAACAATAATAATAATACTATTTATGGGTGTCACAGCAGTTGTACACAATAATAATAAATAATAAATTAAATAATTATAATATCGTATGACGTAGAAGTATGAATAAATATTTTATCAATATAATAATCACAAATGACATGCGAAATATTATATATTCTACCTAAGTGGCAGGGCGGTGTACTAAAAACCGTCTCTCGATATTCGAGACCGATGGTATAATATATTATTATATAGGAATTAGGAATGTGCAGCAGTGCGTGCCCGAGGAGAGAACTATTGCACACTGAATGAGTGTGTATACATGGCGATGGCAGGCATTGGCAGGCAAGTTAAAAATTAAACTATAAACCATAGGTGATTGGTGAGGGGGGCAGAAGTCAATCAGGAGGAATATCCATTGACACATTGTAACATATGGCGTGTTTATCAATTGGTGAATAAGACACAGATTTGAGATTTTTGTGCTATGGAAGTACACGGATCAAGATGAGATTCTAAGTATCGTGTCTATATGCATTGGCGCAAAACTAGGGTCAAAATTCTGGTGGGGGGGGATAGGCGATTACAGCACACCTAACAAAACTATTAATTTAAAATAACCCATTGGGGGCTTATATCTAAATAAATAAGGAATATTTTTAAGAGGGCTGAGCACCCCCTAGTTGCGCCACTGCCTATATGAGATTAAAAAGAAATGGCATGTGCGGCGTCTATACAATAAAAATGTTACAACATTTGCTGGCGCAGCGGTAAAAAAAATACAGGCCTAGCATGTGTATAATACTATTATATTCCATCGTACCTATGTTTTGTCGTTTATAAACCAATCTGACGACCATCCGATCGGCCATCAGATTAATTTAGAAACCTACGGATAGTTTAGTAGTAGTAGTAGTAGTAGTAGTAGTAGTAGTAGTAGTAGTAGTAGAGTAGTAGTATTACATTAATTGTATTCATATTAAATATAGTAGTAAAGTATTACATAAATGCACCGTATAAACGTATATTATAATAATATATACGATCTCATCAGTCTTATCTGGTTCGACTATACACACAGTGGATATATATAACTATATATATATTTAGGTGTAGGTATTTTTTTATACGATTATAATATTATTATATGTTACGCTGCAGCGCGAAAGAACCGCCGACGAAGCCGGTGAAGAGAAGAGAGATTGTGAGTGTCGTCATCATTATTTTAAATTCGCGCTTCGCTGGGATGCTGACTGGCTTTCAAACCCCTACCGGTCCAGCGGACGTCTTCTTTGCCCGGCAGCGGAGAACTGCTGTTGTCGACCCCATTGGTCTTGGAATGTTGAACGTTGCCGACCACCACCAGAGCTGAAGCTATCGCCAGACCTGAGTTGAATAACAAAAAAACGTGACAGAAGTATTAACTTTAGTAGTAGTAGGTGCATAAATTTGCAAACTATGGTTTGTAAAAAAGTTGAGAAAAACGAACAACTTATTATTATATTAAATTAACTACTGCAGTTGTTAGACTGGGAGATAAAGATGATATCCCTCAACAGACAACAGTCAAGTAGCCAGGATTATGAAAGGGAGGGTGGCGTATAAATCAAACTAAGTTTTTTTAAACTTTTTGTATATTAATAACACATTTATATGGCCAGGAAAGGCAATGGGGGTGGGGGATTAAACACCTAAATTCTCCCTCCTGGCTTAAATAATTTTCCATTAATTGTTACTCTTCATGGCACGAGGTTACTGTAGAAGGCATTTTTAGATGTTTAAAGCCAGCTTCCCACAGCTCGAGGTTTGTGGTTCCGGTAGTCACTAGTCAGTATCAAAAATTAAAAGACGCTGGCTGTGGTAAGGCTCGTCAGTTTCTCATCAATTTATAATACATATGATTCTACGGTTGTGGCAATGATTTCAGTGCGTTTCTAAAATTTAAATTTACTGAATAATTAATTTGGGAACGAGCCAAACCGAACAATTCTGATTATACACTACACAGTATATTAGTATTACTTATTATTGTCACTCTGACGCTCTGTACAATCATGAGTTACAACTCCAAACCACGAGCTCCAAGCTGTGGAAAACCTCCTTGAGATAAGATTTAAGAACAAACATTGGTATTATTTTACACTTTTTTTTTACAATGATTAGTATTATTTGGTTAAATATGATATGAAATTCGTTGTATTTTCTAAAATATTGTACGGAACAAGAAAAATGAACCACTCTGATATCTGAATAGATAATAAGCATTTTAATATATCTAACATACCCGAATATCCGTGTGGTGTGAATCTATCGTTACCCGTCGGCTGTCTGACAAGCAATGTCAATACGGCTGCTCGATTTCCAGCACAAGGTTCCAAGGCCACTGGATTTGGTACGTCCTGCATAACAAAGTATATTTTTTAAGTACACATAATGTCATATTACTGCTTAATAATAGCTATTAATATCAATTACAATTTTGCGTTTTCTCAAATTGCTAGAAACAGAAATGGTCGGTATCGATGGTATTTGGTTACCATGAATAGAATTGCGTTTTTCTATTTCCACCTCGACCACCGAAAACGGTCTGCTGGCCATCTGTTCCATTTCCACGAACATTCTCTACACACAAAATGAACAGAATAATATGATATTATTATAATTGTCATGCATTTGTATACATGCTCAGCTAGTAGGCCACATTACATTGCAGTGTTATAACATGTTGGCAATTTTTTTAGATTTAAACGGATTACCAGTAAAATTTGATTTTTTGGCAATGGGCCAAAGTTAGAGACAATAATATGAACAAATATTAATTATTTACACATAAACGACAAGACCTACCTGTCTCCTGCGATACATGTCGTATTTCTGTTTGAGTTTCCACAATATGGCGGCCACCAACAGCAATAGCAAGAAACATCTGCAACGTTATAACAAAAATCCGAGGTAATGACAATTATAATAATACCGGCAGAACCTGCAGCTGTTAAATTATACGTACGAAGAGAATGTGATGAAAAACTGTTGGAGATTTAATTTTGGATACTGAGAAAACGATATCTGTATCCAGAGTGGAGGTTTAAAATCGTAAACATAAACATAGAATGTTGTCAGCGACATGTTGTCGCCGGTGCCAAACATGTATTCTGATTTCAAAAACTTAGTTCTGAAGTTTGTGCAGTTCTGTAACGGTAGTAGCATCTTTTCTGGCCCGGAAGCTATAAATGTAAAATATTATAAAAATTAAACTTACAAGTTGATTAATTTTTATAATGTAGATTTCTTTTCTTAAAAAAAACCTTAAATAAGTTTGAGTAGAATCTAAAATGTGTAATGTATCAGCTAAAGAAAACTAGAACAAGATGTACAGATATTTATTACGGTTTAAACACATACTAAGGAAGAAAATGAGATAGAGCTATTAATTTTTAACATATTTTATTGTAGAAATGAAGGGGCACGGGCCAATTGAGTTTTGATGTTGTTGCCAATGAATACACTGCACTATTTGATTTAAAAACTATAAATACATATATATTTTTTATTTTTTAACTGAAACATACCAGGTCTGACAGTGATATTCATCTTGGCCATCACCGAACAGGTGATACTAAAGTCAGCATCAACATCAGACTTTGAAGGCGAATTTTGAAAATTGATTTGTGTGAACCTCAGATCATCTTTTTTAGACAAGTTGAATGTGAATTGATAGTCAATGGTCAGATCATCTAAAAAAATAAAATGTTATAATGCTTGAAATAGTAGATGAGTGGAGCATAAATGTATACATTATATTGATATTTGTTCTTATCCTAAGCAAAACTAGACAATTTACTTACAAAAACAGGAACCGTGATTAGATGGGTCCCCAAGATAATGGTTATTTGTGTCACATTTTTCACAGTTATCTCCGATTATCCCTTTTGTAGTACAATAGCATTTTCCATTCTCTTGATTACAATGGTTACCTTGATTGTTACACCGACACTCTATAAAATTTAATTTGTATGTATAATTTAATTATTTTTACTGGTCCCTATGTGCAATAATAATACTTATAATAATGATTAATTCCCTGAATAAAACAATTACCTTTACATTCCCCACCATTGACTGGATTCCCATAGAATCCTTTAATACACGTCTCACAGTTTTGACCTTCGGTGTTATTTGAACAGGGGTGTATACACACATCAGTATTGTTCATACAAGTGCTGTGGCCATTGCACTGGCAAGCTGTGTAAATAGTAAATAACATTGCATTAGTATGTATAAAACCATAGAAATTAAAAAAGTTGTACAATGAATTCTACTTATTCTAATTTTAATAATGTCCATTTAAAGCCTTAGAAATAATTAAACAATATTGTGAAAAAAAAAACTATTTTATTAATTTGACTATTCTCAAGAATCTGATTGTTCTTGAAAAATTTAATTCATTTTTGACTACTGTCTACTGTACCTGCACAAACATTTTGAAATAGTATATGTCTGATACTACTTTGTCCCACGAGAGAATAATCAGTCTACCAACTAGACGATGTTAGCGTAATCATGTGGTTCTCGACTCATCAATCGAATCATTCATGATGCATAAAAAGTGATTATTCTTTCGTGGGACAGAGTATATAAATACTATGATCAAATAAATTAAAACATTTTTATTGGTTTTGTTAAAGTATTACCTGCTCACCCATACCACAATTTGCAAAATCTTGTGTAACACTTATTTTTATAAATACCAATTAATGCTTAATTTTGTATACTAACTTGGGCAGTGAGTGAAGTACCATTTATTTTGAGAACATGATTGTGGTGGAGTATTGCCACCTGCCATGCATGAACCTAAACCAGTGCCCGAACCGTCATCACACCAACCACACTCTGGATCATCTCGACAGTCAGTGCAAGTCCTATAGTAATTGCACTGTGAATTACCTGAAAACATTTGCTAATTTAAAATAAAAATATAAGTTCTATTTAAAACTAAAGTATATAATAACAAAAATAGTTTTATACCAAATTAATATTTTTGAGTTTACATTTCAAGTCATAATTTCAAAATTTCAAGTAAAAAATTATAAATAATAATAATAAGCTTTAAAATATCAAAACATTAAACATACAATATTATCAGGACATGTTGTCATCACTTATCAGCATTAACATAAAGTTAAAAATAAAAATAAATTAGTAATTACTGACCTGGTGAAGTCCTACAACGGTGCTCATCTGTTGTCCATTCTCTGCACTGACCGTATGGAAATGAAGATGTGTATGCATTTTTGTCAATGCATCGTTCATTATTCTGACACCAAATGCATTCATCTTTTGTACAATTTGTACATTCAGTATAATGATCACAAACACTTTCACATACATCTGGTGACTGTGTAAAAAATATGGAGCTTATAAAATTGTATTTATAAAACAATGATAGTTTTTGGAGATAAAACTAACTGTAAAATCTTGAATCATGGATTTGTTTGTGATTGGTACACATATAGGAACTTCAATCTTGGAATTCCAATGACATCCAGTATGAGTAACACAATATTGACAAGAGTGAAGATGGTTACAACGCATATGATCAGCATTTTCATTAGTACATTGATAACCAGATGTTATTGGCTACAAAAGCAAAATCATCATCTACATTAGACATTTTGATATAGGAGCAAATCCAGGATGTCCCCACTTTTAGAAATTGTATGTATTTTATATTTATATGAATAATAAATAATTCATGTCTTAAAATCCATAAATTTAAAATGTAATCAAATACTGTATGGTACTTCCGGGTTATCTTGACTACCCTAATTTTTCTAAGACTACCTGTTAGAACTATCCAGGTTATCTCAACAACCTCCGTATAGGAATCTATATATAAATTTAAATTCATATGTGTTAATCTGTATCTTGCAACACACAATAAAACATTTTTTTTTTCGATGTACAATTTACCATCCACGTATTTTGCCATGAGACCATTAACTATTTATGTCGGTATGTATTTCGACATAAATAAAATTAAATCCAACCATTGGAGCACACACCCAAACGCTTTTGTGGATCGGCAAAATAGTGAAACAAAAAACAGATCGGAATTGTTCGCCATCATTTATATTCCTATCTAACTGAATTTGTTTGGAGACCAAACTTTGCAAACAATTCGTTTTATAGAATTTTAATGGATATTAAAACATACTTTTCTCAGCAAAAAAATTATTTATTTAATTTTTTGTTTTAAATTATTTATTTTGTTTGAATTTTTAAAATGTTTTTAAACTTATACATTATTTTACCTGTTTTATTACTATCTTAAATAAATAAATAACTGAATGTCATTTAAACATCAGCAATATAATACAAATATATACTTTGTTATTTAATAAATTGTGGTAGTCGAGATAACTCGGTTGTGTACCTAAGGTAGTTGAGATAACACGTAAGTACCATTGTTATTAATTCATATCTAGTGTTACACAACATGATTCTCCAAGTATGGTACTACATCGTACATGGTCATTCAAAATCTTATTTTTAGAATTTTTAAATATATTTAAAGACTATTTTTCAAGCTCTCGAGATTTCTTATACTACTCTAGGAATGTCTTGTGAAGATACAAACTCTGTTTTTCAAAAGAGAACCCCCCTTTCTACTGTAAATTTATCATCCTTAATTAGTAAAAATTGTCCAAGTATAATAAATACTAAATCCAATATAAAGCATAGTTTAAATCTTTGTAATACCATTTTTAAGGACTATTATCATTATTCATTAGTATAAACATTTTAATGAGTAAAAAACTACTCGTTTGAATTTTATTTGTCAACTTTTTCAGGCAAGTTATTCATAAACTAATTTACAGTAAAAAGGAGGGGGGGTCCTATTTAAAAAATAGAAATTTGGATCACTACAGGACACTCCATAAGAAGTACAAAACATCTAAAGAATTTGAAATATGGTCTAAATATATTTAAAGATTCCAAAAATAAGATTTTTAACAACGGCATTATTGAAGAAAAGTAGGAGATCCGAATGCTTGGTGAATAACCTGTATATAATCTATTATGTACTAAAATTGTATAATTGTATTTTTTCTTAAAAAAATTTAGAACCAGGTCGGTTAAATATAAGTATTCACTATTAAGTACATATGAAATCTCTCTGCCATCAAGCTACTTAAGCAATTAAACAATACTTACACGTTCACTACGATATGGAATATCATCTCTATTCATTGTAGTACATTGTTCTATATCATGTACACAGGAATTTGATAAAGGGCACCAACCACAACGATGAGTATGAACGCATGATTCACATGTAGTTTGCCGCTTGCACTGATCGATAATCCCCGTGACTTGAGACTTACTTTCTTCAGGACAACGGCTATATTTTTTATTTTATAGATCAAAAATTGTAATATTTAAATTGTTAAATGGTTAAGAAAGAACATATTTTTTATGTTTTATTAAAGATTTAATTGATATTACCTGTAAGTTGATTCAAAATCTATACTGGGTGGAATAGCTGGGATTTCTGAAAATGGTAAACAAATGGCTTTTTCGTTATCCCAGACACATTTAACACCAAAATGACGACTATTCAAACAATTAGTTATCATATTATTTGATGAACAATTCCCAGGAGAAAATCTAAATAAAATAAAAGTTATATGTATTATCAGTAAAAATGTCAATGTAAAAGCCCTAAAAATGGTAAACAGTTTGATTTTTCTTACTTGAGAATATCATTGAGCATTTGTCCGTTGAAACCACCGTAAAGATACATAGATTTTTCAAATGTTATTGCAGAATGTCCAAATCGCATGAGACTAGTGAATAAATTTGAGGGCAATGCCATTTGTGTCCAAGAGTCACAATATGTATCATAAAGTAATGGTTGTGCAGTATAACACTGACCTCCAGATGAAACTAAATTTACGCCAGTATCGTTGTGTATGTTTCCACCGTAAATCAACATTAAACCTCCAGTAGGACTCAACATAGAACCACTATGTAAAAACCTACCACTAGGACCGTCACTCATTAAATACCTGTAAAGAAAGACATAATATACATTATTTATAATTATTTTTATTTATTTTACTGTGATCACTCTTTCAAGGATGCCTATTTGCTTAAAAGTTACAAGAACCCTATTTAGTTACTATAAATCTCTGTAGTTCCTTAAGTATAATAATGAGAAAATAAAAAAAAGTATATCAATAATATTAATTACCATGTATGTGAGTAAGGATCATATGCATACAGTTTTGAAGATAAAGCCGATTGCAGAGGACTCATTGACACATAGCCACCATATACAAGAATACGTTCTGTCACAGGATCCCAAGCTGCACTGTGCCCGTATCCACCCTTTACTGGATAACCTTTAGTCTTTACAACTGCCCATTCTCTAGTGCCTATAAAAAATATAATTATTGATTTGTATTCAATCAAATCAACAGATAAAATAATTTTATCACTATTGAAAGATTATATTTATTAATGACTTACCAAAATAATATTCTTGAACAAAATTCATAAAACCATAAGTAGGAGAATGTCCAAAAATAATAATCATGCGTTCTGTCACATATCTGGAACCAGATCCAGACGAAGTAGATTGTGATATAAATGAAGGCGGCACCAGTGTTGCTGTGTGTCCAGCACTACGCAATGGTCCACACAACGCTTGATTTGTGAAACCAATGTTCATAAGGTTACGTTCACATGAACCAGTATTGACTGTGACATTTTCCCAGGACTTGGCACTTATGTCATAAGCCCACAATTCATTACATACAATTCCATCTTCTTTTACTCCTCCATAAACATATATCTTGTCCTACAAACAATTGTAATTTCGCATAATATTTAACACTATTAAATAAAACTATAATATTGTTTAGATAATAGATATACATACACCAAACAGCACAGATGAATGTCCATATCGTATGGTTGGTGCTGTTTTGCTTATTACATGAGGTGTTTCCCATACATGACCTAACATAAAATAAAGTAAAAATAAATATTGTATTTTATTATTTAATTTAGATAAGTAATTTAGAAACTTACCATTGAAATCATAAACATATAACATATGTCCTTTTTTAAAAGACTCTCCCCCAACAATATACATAGAGTCTTGCCATACAACTGCTGTGTGAGATGCAGATCCTTGGGGAACAAAATCACTTGTCTTCAATAATTCCCAGTAACCATGCTCAGCTACTTGGCTACAGTCATCACCTATAAAAAAAAAGCACACAATTAGTAATATAGAATTAAATACAAATCTAAATAATTAATTTACCTTTATACTTTGGATTGCAGACACAGCGATGTTGTTCCTTATCACACACCCCATTACTGGCTGTACACTTATTTGGACAAATCGGAATGTGGCATGCTTCTCCAATAAATTGGGCATCACAAGTGCATACAGAGTCTACACAAACACCATGTCCTGAACATTCTTTAGAGGAAGTTGTACTTGGACATGTGTTTAAACTGAAATATTTTATACATTAGTTTTTAGTCTTATTTAATTCAATTCTAAATTTACAAAAATAGTATATTTAATACATAAACTTCAAAACTGAATTTAATTTATAAATTTTTTCATATAAAAATGTTATTATATATAAACTTTGGTTACATACAAGGACTCTAAGGTAAATTTAACATACCTGTAAGAAATATTAAAACCAGACAAATTATAAGCTATATCGCTATAAAAATGTAATAGAGCAAATCCGGAATGGGCTACTATTTCTGGTACACTCTGCAGAGAGTAATCTTTTGAATACATAAGACCACTGAAAATATACATTATAATTACATTTTATTATTTTTAAAACATTGTTTTAGTACAGTAGAAATCCGTAATGAGTCCCAAGGGTCAGAAACTGTTTCTTGTTGTATAAGATTAAAATAAGTGTTCACTGTAAATAAGTGGAAAAATTAAAAATACCAAAAAAAAAAAGAAAGATTTCTGTAGTTACTGAAAAACTATAACTAAACTAACGACACAATATGATTAGAAGTTTTCACGTTACTAACAATACTTATAAGTTATAATCAATGTATACTTTAAAACACCGGAACTCATATAAACATGTTTATATCATAAGTGCAAATAGTAGGGGGGCTGACTAAACTACTCATAGGCCCCTCAAGATAGATTAATCTTTGAATTTGAATAATATAAATCAGTGGTGCTCAACCTGGGGTTCGCAACATTTTAATAGGGGTCGTCAATAATAATTTAACACCAAATGAAAAAGTTACATATTCTTACATAACATAATATTATATTATAATAAATACAATTATTTTGTACTGCATAATAGGGTAAAATTGTATATGGACACTACATATTATTATTCAAATTTTTGGGCTAGTTGAGCCACTGGTTTTTATAAAGGTACACATTCAGTATAATATGTATGTGATTAATGTAATAATGTATATAATATATTATATTTATGTTGCATCCACTTAGTGTAATTGTATTTTTCATGAAATATGATCTACCATCATATCACGTAAGTCAAATTTTAGTTCATGAAATGAAAATATCTTATTTTACACTTTGTTTAATATTTTTAATTAATTACATCAACAGATAACTTTTGTGAAATCGAAATTATAATATTGAAAAGATCACATGAATCTAATTATTTTAAATTGTAGCCATATTAACTTCTGTTATGTAACAGTCATTGACATAAAGCTAATAATATTTGTAATAATAAGTATTAATACATATAATATAATAATAAATAATGTTCTACTCATTATGTAGGTACTCTATGCCCGTAAGGGTGTATAATTAAAATAAATAAATAATTGTAATACGAGTAATAATAAATATATTTAATAGATTAAAAATTTAACTTCATTTGAACTGGTAGTATTTTTTTGAAAACAAATCAGAGTTTAGTATAAAACATGTTATATGAATGACTACAATTTAAATATATTAGATTCATGTAATCGTATCAATGTTATTATTTTGATTTCACAAAAAGTTACCTATTGATGTAATTAATTAAAAAAGTGTAAAAAAATATTTTCCTTTTCGCGAATTGAATTTCATGAACTTAAATTTGACTTACTAAATATTACTTAATATGATCGTAGTTCATGAAATGGATATACATTTCATGAAAAATACGATTACATTAAGTGGATGCGACATTTATATAGTTATACACATTCATATCTACAGAATATCATGCTCTGTGTTTTTCTCATATTAGATGATATCTAATTCTAACCATACTTGTTGTAGACAAATATACTTATGTAAAATCTATATGGACTTGTGTGAGGATCTAGCATTTTGAATGTTTTAACAGATGCTCATTGTAGTGATTTCTACAGTAAATAGATTTTTTTTAATTGTGAAATAATACATGCCTATAAACACCAAGTAGTGGAGAATGAACACTGTCTCCATCATATATATATAAATGATCCCAACCGCATTCCGTAATGAATTCTTCAAAATGCAATCTGATCGTGGAATTAGTGGAATTGCCAGCTTCTATAAGCCAACTACACTTCACATCCAGCGAGTAGTTACCAATGCCATCAGAAATGAAACCAGAAGTTCCATTTAATCTAGAATGAAATTTAACTTGATAATAAGACACATATTATATTATAAAACTACGTATTCTATTGAATTAAACAATATTAAAATAATATCTCAAATGAAACCTTTAAAGATTTAAACTAAACATTATTCAGTGTTTATTCACTATTTAATGAATATTCCTTTCAAAATAGTTTAACTAGTTCTAAATAATATTATTTATTAGAAGATATTTATGATAGCTAATAGACGACACTAGTTTAATAGTTTAAAATTCAAGTGGTACAGTTGTTGCCAGATAAATTGAGGCGGCGGTGCATATTCTCCGTATTTGAATATTATTACCAAAAATACATCAATAAACTAACAATTGTCACAAAAATTATTTTATGATATTAATTTAAAATTAAATATTCTGATAATAATCTTTTATTTAAAAACAAAAAGTAGAAATTGTAAAATAATATAAATAATATAATTATAATAATAATAAATACAATTTTTTGCACCGAGCCTGGTTCGAACTGGTGACTGCGCGCGTCGAAGCCAACTACACAGTAGACTGTGTGACTGCCAGCGAATAGTTTGGGCTATACTTACTGAAAAGCGCTGCTCAATTTATTTGGTAACGACTGTAAATAATTGTATAATTTTATATAAAATTGGTTATAAATTATAAGTATCCTAGTATCTTAAAAAGGTTCTGTTACCAAACTGATACTCAATGGTAGTGGAGGAAGTTTAATAGGTTATTGATTTTTAAAAGATGGATATTCAAAGTTAAAATATGAGTTGAGATAAGGCTGAATATTGAATTAAGGCATATGAAATCCTCCTTATGTGATGCCAATAGCTTAATGAACCTTGACTCATTTGGGTCTGCCATCTTTATTTGCTAGTGAAAACTTTAAAGTCCTGCCACTCAGATTTGTTATAGCCCCGCAGCCCCGCCATCAATATAACAATAAATACATTGTATAAATATAAAATAATGAGTTTATTTATTGACTCTATTATAATAATAATTCGATGACAGATATATTGATGTAATATTAAAAAAATTAAATTAAAAAATGATAATAATAAATATATCGTATAAAACAATGATAAATTAAAAAATGTATATACCTAAATGTTTATGGTTTCTCTTATGATCGCTATATTGTTAAATTTTGATCGCCACATAAATTCTGCCATGTTAGAGTCTAAAAAATGTCTATCAGTTCATCTACGTTTTTAAAGTTCAACCACATTTTCCCGACATTTTGTGTGTGGGCTCCTGAGTTAGGGTCCACGATATTGTATCTATGATTAACTTGATTATGTTTAAATCAATGTTGTTGCAAATTAACATAAGCTTTCCAGCTGTCAGAAAAAATTGTTGAACCATGTCTAATATATCGGTTAATGATAGGTATCAATGGAACTTCTGATCTATTTGGCCCACTAACTATGAAATAGTTTTCGATTATTGATTATTAGGTACCTCATAGTAGAGGTACATATTTTTCGTCAAATTATTTCATATTTATAGGTACTATGTATTTATTGTTATATGGATGGCGGGGCTATAACAAACCAGTATCTAATTTTATAGTCCATAGATAACGATGAAAATTGTGTTAATTAAAAGTACGTCATTAATATAATTTAATTAAATAAATAACCTTCATAAGTTAAAGTTTTTTTTAAGCAGTACCTACCTATTATTTTTTCTTACATATATAGGAACCTATTTATATTAGTATTTTTTGTATTATGCACTTTATTCTTTAGCATATAAAAGCATATTTTTAATTTAAGAGAATATATATATTTATATAAAAGCATATTTATTGTATATTTTATTATGATTTTTAAAGAATATTGGAAGAATATTTTCAACTTTTTAAGAGAATATTATTCTGGCCTCTACCTATAGTAATAAAAGTCCATGCCTTATAATTATTTTACTATAGTTAATATAATATTTTATAATTAAATATGTTGTTGGTTATACTGTAACATAGAACAATTTTTAACTTCAGAAGTACTAGAACCTCAATGACCAAGTGTATACTAGTGTGGTAGTACATATTTTTAAATATTGAAATACCCATTTGAATGGATATGCCTTTCAATAAATTGTATTTTACTACTCAACTTTGATAACAATTTTGACGAGTTTCAACGAAGTACAGTTATCTTAATTTATATTTTTGAGTTTTGGCTAGATAAAACCACTGTATATCAGGTTGTTAGTGTCTCTCGTCATTGAGTAGGTCATTGTAATGGATGTATTAAAATTTCATTTTATAGTAAAATCTTCATTTCTTAAGCAATTTGTTAGAATAATAGTATAAAAGTGGGTTTTTTCCAGTGGATATTTATTCTGTATTTCATGCAATTTATGTGCATTTAGTATTATTCAATACTGACAAATATTGAGTTAGGAAAGTACCTATGTCCACCTTGAAGCTATAATTGAAAACGGACATAATGAAATGAACTGATTAACTCAATAAACTCTACATTTTTAGTTAGTGTTACCCACTATTAAGTATGTTTACAAATTCTTTCCGATGTCAAAAACTAGGCCATAGGTACAAAATATAATGTAGATTTTAAATTCACATGGGAAACTGATAGTCATGGAGATATAATACAAGTGATACAACCAATAAATTCATTGAGCGACATGCTAACTCGTTGACCCACATTACACAGACAAATTCATAAGTGAACTAGACTTCTTCACTGAGTCACAACACAGAGACTATGGTACTAGTACTTTATGTGTAACTCACTTGACTTTTCCACCACAATACTGGCACTGAGGACCTTGCCATCCGTCGTTGCACACGCACGTTCCATTCAAGCAGATGCCATTGCCGCACTCGACGTCTTTGCACCGGTCCAATGAGCATTGTGCCAAGGATGCTAAACCAAAAACGATTACCAGCAGCAGCAGCAGCGGATAGAAATTGGTAGCCACCTTAGTAGTCATTGTTGGGGCAATCCGTTTCCGTCGATATTTGGACTTAAACAGGAACAGAAACATGTCGAACAAGGCATGTTTCATGACGTGCGGTAATCGTCGTCGTCTGACCAAAATACCGAAAGTTGGACGATGGCGAGCTCGAGTCTCTACTTTTCTTTTTAACAATAAATATTATAGTTAATAGTTAATACTAATATTACTTATTAGTTACTAGTTATTATTATTATTGTTTACTTTTTTTTGTTAGTGTCCTGAATCTTGAGGAGATCGACGTTATCTCATTCCGTCACTCTCTAATCATGTCAGCTCGTTATCTCCGTCGCACTCGCACACGCAAGCAGAAAACATCGTCGTCACTCGTCACCATGAATTAAGAACACATTATTATGGACAACCGTAGTCCGTACTGGAAACGCTGAACGGCCACCTAGACCCCCGGTTAACTAGATCCCCAAGATCTAAATGATACCAAAACGAAAAAGGATCTATATCTATATTTTTTTTTATAGTTATCAGCGGATTTCAATAACCACGAGGAACTAGTTGACCATAGGAGGACTAGTTGTCTCAGGATCTAAATTACTATGCATTTGTATTCTGTAGTTAGTAGTTCCAGAACAATTTACGGAAATACAAAATACTTATAAAAAAATTATATAATCAAAATAATGATTTTTTTTGAAAATTTCAAATTTATTTGAATTTCGTATCCCCCCGTGACACCCAGGAATCCAGCGCCATAGCGTTTCCACTTTCCAGGGGTATTAATTATTTTGTCGTAGTACTAAGGGCTTGAGGGGGCTTAGCCCCCCCCCCAATAAGCCCGTCAAGCCCACTCCATTATTTAGTTTTGTAGGATCAAAGCCCCCTCGCTAACATTGATGTTAATAATATAATTATTATTGAAATCAAATTTTCAAAACATTTATATTAATTTTAAGCTTTTTATACCACGAATAACACCGAATAATACCTTTTCACACCGTAGTTCTATCGCCATATCGGTATTTACTTCTAAGTTATAAATAATTATCTAACAATAATTATCTGCTAGTAATTAGTATACTATAGTGTAAGAGCTTTTATATAGTTATAGGTACCTACCCTTATTGTGGCGTAGCCAGGGGGCCTGGGGGGCTGGGGGCTGCAGCCCCTCTCCCCCCCCCCCCCCCGAAAAAAAAATTCGGATACGCCACTGCTACCCTATTAGTTATTATTTATTATAATGATTATGTCATATTATTATATGTAGATTTTCAAAATTTGATTTATATTTATATTGTTTACTAGAAGATTTTAATTTATTTATGAGTTTAGGTGTTAATACATTCTGCTGATTTCTGAAAAAAATTCCTTATATATTTTATTTTACGGTGTTAAGTTAAAAAGTTTATACCTGGATTTGAGGCTTATGAAATATCTACTAATGTTTTTTTTACACTATGGACCAACGGACCAAACCAGTGGCTTGGCATAGATACAGGTGAGTGGGTGGGTCATGGGGTAAAAAATACATCAAAATTGTATTTTAATTTTTTTTACACTAATTTTTGTATATTATTATATAATATTATATAGGTACATTATTACATTAAAGCTACATCAGTTTAAATGCTATATTAACAATATAGTAAAAAAACAATATAATAATCTTAGTTACAGTTTATAAATCTGAATTTTCTGAATAGGTACACAAAAATTTAGCGTCTTAAATCCAAAAGTATATAACTTTCATTTTGGTATAAATGCAGTTCAGCTCCCAAGTGGTTTTTGGATTTTTGTTCTTCAAAATTCGTGTTTTGCATGCTTTATTTGTTGTTAAAACCAAATAAAAAAAGTTACGGTCAAAACTTTTTTTTTAATTTTTGAAATCCTCACGATTATTTTGTATTCTTAATATCAGTTGTATACCTACATCAAAGAAATTGGGATAGACCGCCTCTGGTATTTGACTGTGTTCACCTTCACAATATTGGATGCCTGTATCATTGTACCATACATGTCTTCCCGTTCGCCGAGGCCCGAGAGAATGTGGTTATTTCGAGCACATGACTGGTGCTGAGGCCTGAGAAGTAGGAATTTGGGTGTTTAGGGCCATGTACAAATACTAAGCCGTACGACACGTTTTGGTTTGTGAGCACTGTGACCATATTTTGCCTATACAATACGCCGTTCAACGCTTTATGTTCACGTAAAGTATTTAAAACACAGACTTCTATACTATATAGAAATCTGTGATTTAAAACGATATTATGATGTCGATATACGAATTATTAGTTAAGCAGTAGCGGATCCAGACGTGACCCAAGGGGGGGGGGATTTTCAAAAATTTAATTCTTTTTTTTGTTTAGCAAAATATTATAATTGAAAATAACGTTAAAAAGACAGCCCAATAGGGGGGGCCCACGGAAGCGGTCCGAGAACGGAGCCCCGGGGGACTCCGCATGTGACTCCCATTATCATGGGATCGCCCCTTGCGTCGTCGCACACGTACAGAACCCGATCGCTGAGGTACGAGTCGAGAACCCTCCAGATGTATGGAGGGAAGCCCATACTTACCAGCTCCGCGAGCACCACGCCCCACCCGACGGAGTTGAAGGCGTTCCGGATGTCCAAGCTCACGACGACGGCATAACGACGGGCATTCACGGCGGCGCAAAGCCGATCGCGAAGTAGTCGCAGCGCATCGTCCGTGCACCGGCCGCTCCGGAAGCCGAACTGCCACTCGGACAGCTCGACCCCGGCGGCGGTCATGTGGTTGTTCATCCGGGTCGCCAGCAGGAACGCGAAAATCTTGAGAACGTCGCCGAGAAGACACAGTGGACGATACGAAGACGGCATTTCCACAGGCTTCCCAGGCTTGGCGAGAAGCTCCAGGCGAGCCCGTTTCCACCGCTTGGGAAGATGCCCTCCCACAGGTAGAGGTTGAACACGCAGAGAAGGCGCCCCGGACGCGTATTAGGAAACCCAGGACGCCACAGAGCGCCTTATGTATACCACGTTCTCATTGGCCCATTTCAAATTGCCCGCTTTTTTTTTTTTATCATTTATCAAATAATTTAATTTAATTTAATAATATAATATTAATTTAAATATTATATTATATTATTTAATTTAAGCAAATTAAAATAACTATTTAGTAGGAAAAGGTACCTAACTAATATTAAACAATATTATTATGTTATTATAATTCAATAAATTAATGTAGAATGTGATCTCTACACAGTTATTTTTATTTTTTACTTTAGTAGGTACCTATACCTACCTCAGAGTGAACATTTCTAAATTTCTTACTGGACTAAGTGTATTGTACTTGTACACACCTTTTGTGTTAGCTATAAAGATTGTATAGGTTCTTCCTTACATAGAAACAAAATACCAATCTTACTTAAATGTTTTATTTTTACTAAAACATAAAGGTGCGTTTAGACGGCTCGAGTTTGACTCGTGAGTCATACTCGCGCATCACTACCGTGAGCGAGTCCCGCGAATCTGATTCATGGTGAGTCGTGACTCGCCTAGATAAAGGGTGAGCCGTCAATAGGATACTAATTAAAACGTTTACACGGCGCGAAACAAAAGTGCGAATCGCCTTTGACGCGCACCTCGAGACCGACTGACTGACGGCTCGCCGCGCATCCGCCTCGCGAGTCGTGATTCGGGTTCTACAGCCGTCTACACGTCACGAGGATTGATGCGCGAGTCTGACTCGCGAGTCAAACTCGCCCCGTCTAAACGCACCTTAAGATTCTTAATTAAAATAGGTAGGTACCTTACTAAAATGTCATGCTCTAACATTAATATATGTATTGTATTTTTAATAAAGACATAACTATTTTTAGAGGAACGAATTGAACTAGTGTTCAATGATTATTTTAATAATATATGGAATGGTAGCTACTATGAAGCTAACGGTTTAAAAATCCAATTAAAGAAATTGTTGTAACTTCACATGAATGGTGCAAAAACAATTTTGGACGTCTAGTTTGGTAGTCTAGTTCATCGATGACTGAAAAGCCCTGTTATTATTTTCAATTTTATATTTGTAGGTACACTACATTACTAGGTACCTACATCAGCAGTGGTTTATAAATAATATTTTTTTACACATTTATAACTTAACTAATTCAACCTTTTTAAAATGTTATGCAAGTATTAAGTAAACAAAATATATTAAGGTAGGTAAAAAATAATACATACATGTCTACCTACATAGTCAGAGGTAGGTAGGGACTAGGGGTTACACGATCATTGAAAGTATATAAATATTAGACAAAAAAAAACATTTAAAACTGTGAACATATTTTAAAGTATTTTTTTTTACTATGATGACCACCTCGCATGTTAAAATGCTGTCAGTTGGGCTCTGAATGTGATTTAATTGTCCTGAATGTACAACATGACTCCCTAAATAACAAAAATTTACTAACAAAATTCAAAAATTTGACCTACCCGATAATACTTTATAGGTGTTATAAGTTCCTATATAGATTATAATGACAATTATTATAAAATATACCATTCAATTTTATTATAATTTGATGAGGTAACAATTTTGAACTCAGATTTACCAATTATTTTAGCAAACGATTAAACAATTTGTTATTATATTACATTAAATTTTGTTTATTTTATGATGTACCTAGGGAAGTTTATCTTCTACATCTACTAAGTTTATTATAAATTATAATCTAAATATATCAAACTGATAACAGTATACCTAGTCACAAATAATAATATAATTTAATGTAATTCCAGTATAAACTTCATAATGAAGTCATAAAATATTAATTCGAATGAAAAAAAACTATGTAAAAACAATGAAAAATACATGTTATATGTTCAGTGACCTCTACCATGGGATTTTGCATTTGATTGTCCTAAATTAATGTTTTTTCATATTCAACATATTTTAAAGTATTTTTTTTTACTATGATGATTGATGACCATGCGAGGCGCATGTTAAATTTCTGTCTATGCACAGTATATAGAGGTGAAAAAGCTGGGAACAATCGCTGCAGGTACCACATGGCACATCAGTTGAGCTCTGAATATACAACATGACTTCCTAAATATCAAAAATTTAAACAGAAGTTTATCTTATTTACATCTTGGTACCTACTTCGTTTATTAATTATTAATTAATTGATGTCGCCATTAAAATATATGTAGATATAGCTCCTAAAATTATAATCTAAATTTATCAAACTGATAACAGTAGTCACATGGTTTATTTATTGACTACCAAACTACCTACCAGCTATTATTAATTTGTCAACAGGAATATTAAATTGATTTTTGACTTGCTGTCATGTTTAAACTTTAATTGTACATCTCCGTTATAGTCGTACTTTTAATTTTAAGTTGTTAGTGTTTAAATCATCTTAGCATTTTCACTAGTTAGGTATTTTTAAGCTCTGGTTGTTTGGGTATTTAACTTGTTGGTGCTAGTTCTCTGTTTCTGCATTTCTGAATAATCAATTATATTGTATTCATAATGGATGAATTCATTAAGTTCTTAAAAAATAATAATATCATTGCAGTTCTATCAAATTAAGTTTCTAATATAAATGAAAAGACCTCGATTCTTAGAGCCAATATTAATAATGTTAATGAAGTCACCTTACTGTGCTGGCATACGCAATATTTATGAAACATGACTTTGAAAAAAAAAATGTCTTATACATTAATATTAATCAAATAATGAGAACTATTTTTACTTACCTTGATGGATTGTCAAGCTGACCAACACGAATCCAATTAGTTTTCGAAAATTCTTGGTAAAGCATTATGAAATTCTCAACTTCATTAACATTATTAATATTGGCTCTAAAAAAACAACACAAACAACTAAAATATCGTTGCCATATACGTGAATGTTTCAAAAATCTACAATTCATATCTGTGTCACATAGTTACCACTTGTCAATATTCATTTCTTGTGTTCATTACGGATAAATTTCATTCCTATACGTATTTCTGTATAATCTTCTCCGTTAATTGTGCCTATATATTATTTTCAAATAAATATGTCATATAGATGTGTATCTATGCCTAACATGGCCGCGATGTGTGAAAATCCCTCAGCCAAATCGACAGATATTGGGTGGCGATCAACGCCAAATCTGAAGTTTCAGCAGGTCACCAGCGATGTACGTAAACCGGAATCGTCAAAAAATTTTGATTTCAAAGGTTTTCTGGACGGCAGGCTCTGTGTATCTGAGCCAAACATCCCCGTACATCCAAAATTAGCTGGCGAGACAGCTGCAGATATTGGGTGGCGATCTACGCCAAATCTGAAGTTTCAGCAGGTCACCAGCGATGTATGGAAACTGGAATCGTCGAAAAATTTTGATTCCAAAGGTTTTCTAGACGGCAGGCTCTGTGTATCTGAGCCAAACATCCCCGTACATCCAAAATTAGCTGGCGAGACAAATGCAGATATTGGGTGGCGATCAACGCCAAATCTGAAGTTTCAGCAGGTCACCAACGATGTACGGAAACCGGAAAGTCCGAAACACACACGTCCTCGTCGTTCATTTTGGCGCCGGACAAAGAAATTTGTCAGGCGGTTCCTTTGTTGTTGTGGTTCTGTTGACAAGATAGACCAGTAATATGTATATTATAGAGTTTAAACTTTAAAAGGTTTAAACACGATTATGCACGTATTTCATGCACTGTACGTCTGTACCATCGTCGGCTCTTCGCCACCTGTTTTGTTCTGTATTAAATTAATATTATTAATATTATTATGTTACTCATATTAAACGTATTATTATAAAGTATGTACTATGTATTAATACCTATCTATTATATCTACCTCATTCGCTTTGCATAAATATATGTAATAATCCTATATGGTCACGCAGGTGGATATTGCAGTATTGTCATGGATGTCATCGAGTTTCATGATAGTAAAAAAATTTAAAATTATCTATACTAGAGTGGTTGACAAATGATTTACTTCACCTTCCGTTTAACCACCCTAAAATCGAGCCATGTACGGGTGCGCATAATATTATATGAGCGATATATTATAAGTCCACGCCTCTCCGTTTCGACTAGTTACGAATTATATTATAGTATTTACCTATTCGCAAACAGCGGCTCGGTGTTATATGCCTGCGGATAATGTTATTTGTTCTGCATCGTGATATGGAAATAACCGAATCACACTGAAATAAACGTGCAACCATATGTAGACGTCTCTGCGGCAAACACCGCGCCGTAAGTTTGAGCTTCAGACTTCAGTGGTAGGTAAACATTAATAGATACTGTTAAAAATCGTGAGTAGTACTTAGAAGACGCTCCAGGAGTGTTATTCGCACACTCCACAGAGTCGGTATATTATACTGTAATACCTACTATATATGTGATCCGAGTTCTAATGTTGGACTCGATGGCGTATAATTGTACACCCCAATTTTTTGTATACAATAATATTTATTAAAATTAATATGCATATCATCAGCCTAATTCGCAATATTGTCCCAACTCCAAAAATGTGATTTTGGATAAATTGTGATCAAAATTAAGGAAAAAACTGCATTGTATGATAAAGTTGTAACTGATAAATTGTAACATTTTATCCTCCATATGACATTGATTATTATTTATTAGAAATGGTCGTATTTCCGATGTGATGATTTTAACAATTAGAAAAAATCATAACTCCATATTAGAAAGGTAAAAATTATGAGTAAGGATATTTGCGAATTGAGAGATGAGATAGGAAATTTTCCGATGAAAATGATGAAATGTTTTTCCTTTCTCCTGAAAACTAGTCAATATGGAGTTTAGTTAGTACTGTTTATAAATGTTTGTAAAATTTTTTTTTTGTCTTATATTTATATATTTTCAATGATCGTGTAACCCCTACCTACCTCCGACTATGTAGGTAGACATGTATTTTTTACCCACCTTAATATTTGTTTACTTAATACTTGCATAACATTTTAAAAAGGTTGAATTAGTTTAATTATAAATGTGTAAAAAAATATTATTTATAAACCACTGCTGATGTAGGTAGTAATGTAGTGTACCTACAAATATAAAATTGAAAATAATAACAGGGTTTTTCAATCATCGATGAACTAGACTACCAAACTAGACGTCCAAAATTGTTTTTGCACCATTCATGTGAAGTTACAACTATTTCTTTAATTGGATAGTAATTTGGTTAGCTTCAGTAGCTACCATTCCATATATTATTAAAATAATCATTGAACACTAGTTGAATTCGTTCCTTTAAAAATAGTTATGTCTTTATTAAAAATACAATACATATATTAATGTTAGAGCATGAAATTTTAGTAAGGTACCTACCTATTTTAATTAAGAATCTTTATGTTTTAGTAAAAATAAAACATTTAAGTAAGATTGGTATTTTGTTTCTATGTTAGGAAGAACCTAGACAATCTTTTTAGCTAACACAAAAGGTGTGTACAAGTACAATACACTTAGTCCAGTAAGAAATTTAGAAATGTTCACTCTGAGGTAGGTATAGGTACCTACTAAAGTAAAAAATAAAAATAACTGTGTAGAGATCACATTCTACATTAATTTATTGAATTATAATAACATAATAATATTGTTTAATATTAGTTAGGTACCTTTTCCTACTAAATAGATATTTTAATTTGTTTAAATTAAATAATATAATATAATATTTAAATTAATATTATATTATTAAATTAAATTAAATTATTTGATAAATGATAAAAAAAGAAAAGCGGGCAATTTGAAATGGGCCAATGAGAACGTGGTATACATAAGACGCTCTGTGGCGTCCTGTTTTCTAATACGCGCCCCGGACTCACCGCATACACAACATTCCAGACCCGGCTTGGAATGCAATCCGGGCCTGGTGCCCTGGAGCGGCTCACCGCCGCGCTAACTTCCTCCGGAGATAACTCCGTAAAGTCCCCCGGCCATTCCACCCCAACGTCGGCGAGATCCCCTTGAGGGAAGAGGACGGCGGTGATGCCGCGGACTGTTTCCGGCCCTATCGTTTTCCTATTTTGTTTTCAATATATTAGTCTGATATGAAAAATTCTATCTATTGTCTATTTCTCTAATAACTAATTAATTTATATTATGTTTTGTATTTAATTTTGGTTTTAATTTATACTAAATATTGAATGTACATTTAAATAAAATGTAGGATTAGAATAATATTTATTCTTAATAATATTAATTCATCGTTAGACACAAATTTAAAAATATTATATGAACAGGAGAGCAATGCTGCAATTTCATTTAATGAGAATCGTTGAAAAAATGTTGAAAAGCAGTTACGATTTTTTTCATCAAAAAAAACTAAGATTAAAAACACCTGAAGAACAGCGATTAAACAAGCCAACATTAAACGTAAGACAGCAAATAATAGATGACTTAAATGGCAAAGAAGAGTCTAATTACGTTCGTATAGATCCACATTTTGACCGTGCATATGAACAATAAGTCATTAACTTGACTTGTAATTTAATAATTTTTACATATTCATTATTTTTAAATTATTTTATTATTATTATAATTTTTATAAGTTACACTTCCCTATATATTTATTTTAATTATTTGTATACGAATTATAAGACAACAATACCTATAATCTATATTAATATTATACTCTATAATGATGTATTCTCTATCTATTGACTCAGATACTAATATTAACAATTAATTTTTTATTATCTAATTTATGAATTAAACCACATTTAACCACGGAAAATAAAATTTAAAATTATTATGGTAGTTTTATGACGATTATAATATTATGATAATTGATAAGAAATACGATATGATCATTGATAAGAAATTTGCCCTAGACGCTCGTGTAACGTGTTCAGACTTTCAGAGGTCCCGTCACAGAACAATACAGAAGCGACACTCTGCTTGGTGGCCGATCTCTGGTGGTTTAGTGTTGATGTTGTAAATGATTACCTGGTGGTTTAGAAGTGTTGTTGTGAACGATTTTTTTTTACAATAAACGGTTTGTTGTTTGTTTACGTTTTGATCCTATAACCTACAAATATAATACAACAACTATTAACTTCCAATTTTTTGAATTACGCGTTCACTGTTCAGAAATTATTTTTATTTTAATTATTATTAGTAATTATAATTATAAATAATAATTAAATAATCATGGTTATGACGTGCGCTGCATCGTTTTGCTACAACAAGAGTGGACAGAAACAATCCAAGGTTTCGTTTTTCAGGTTTCCGAAGAACGTTGATGAGTAAGTACAAATAGTATTATTAATTTATATTATTCTTTATGTAGGTACCTAATATTATAGAATTTTTTACTTTTGAAGAAAAGTTTGTTGTTATGGTCAGTAACGTACGCAGGATTTTAGTACGGTTAGGGTTTCACCTGAGTAAATAATTTACATTATTTTTTTCTAAATAGTTTTTATGTAATTGGTTATAACAAATTATAATTAGTCTCAAATGTAGTCTACATTAAGAACACTCGAGTGTTCAATCTTGAATCCTATGGTCATCTATAGAGCCTCTTCGGGTCGTAGTATGTGGTAATTATCGAAGGACGGTGATACATGATTATACACCATACGACGTTTATGACAGATGTTTAGCAATGTTCTAAATCAGCCAAAAAACTGAAACTATGATTATCGACGTATTTGTCATATTTAACAATTTATATTATATCTATTGAAAATGACCAACAATTGATCGACTTTGTGTATTTAAATGGTTTTATTTTTTTGTCAACGGAAGAAATTTCAGGGGGGTCAGAACCCTAGAACCCTACCCTTGTGTACGCCACTGGTTATGGTACTTGTTTGTGTGTGGAAGTTGATAACGCACACGTACCATCGTTATTACTGGGTTATATATTTTATTATTATTGTATTCAGTATTTCCATATTACAGTATTTTGTATAAACATTTAAGTGCATTTAAATTATATAAGCTATATGGTATTATGTGATGTTTTAGGTGTAATCAATGGGCATCCTTAATTGGTCGGAATGACCTGGTAAATTGCAATGTTCAGTTTCAAAGAGTGTGTTCCGAACATTTTGAAGCTACATGCTTTACATCTTCATCGGTGGGACGACAGCAAGTGCGTCTTATCAGTGGTGCTATGCCCTCAAAGAAGAAGCAAAGCAATGCAGAGCTTGATACTGTCACTTTCAACGTTGAAACCGCAACTTCTGAGGGACAAGTATCTATGATAACTGTAACAGATGTTTGTGACGAAGAATTTTTTAATAATACTGAAATTCCAACTGATGTATCACAAATGGATATTAAAAGTTGTTCAACTCCATTATCACTTAAATACCAAAGTAACTTAAGTAGTTCAAATTTGTCTTTAGCATCAACAAGTAGCTCTTATTCAATTACTTCGACACAAACATCGTTACAATTATCATCAGATACCCCACGAAAACGTAAACTTAGGAAAAGTATGAAATGTAAAGATGATCAGTATAAGGACTTACTTAAGCAATTCACTGAATTACAAAAATCTGTAGATAGAGCAAAACATCCCACTATTCAAGATTTTCATGAGTTATGTGATACATTTTTAAGGCCTGGCATCGCTAATTTCGTTAAATCACAACCTTCCTTAAATATAAAATCATCGAAAGGTTTCCGGTATTCTAATTCAGTGAAACAATTTGCACTTAAAATACATTTTCTTGGGCCTAAAGTATATCGTTTAATAAAAACAACTTTTAATTTGCCAAGTATAAGAACTTTACAAAGAGTCACTGAACGTTGGGAAATAAATCCTGGTTTCAGTGACTTGGTGTTCAAAGTGTTAACTTTAAAAGGTAGTACCATGTCTGCAAAGAGTAAGGAATGTGTTTTATGTGTAGATGAGATGTCTATTAAAGCTTTTCTTTATTATAACACTGTTAAAGATACAATTATTGGATTCCATAACACTGGCTCCATCAAAACACATGAGCTAGCTAGGTCAGTAATGGTAATTATGATTCGTGGCTTGCATGATACTTGGAAGCTGCCTCTATGTTACTTTTTTGTTGCGTCTAATTGTTCTGGTTATGATTTGCAAAGTATAATTTTTAACTGTATTCAAAAATTATCCAGTATTTCTTTTAATGTTAAAGTAATGATTTCGGATTTAGGGTCCAATTTTAAAAAATTTGCTGATCAACAAGGTATTACACCAGAAACCCCTTATTTTAATGTATCAGGAAAAGAGGTTGTTTTTATGTTCGATCCTCCTCATTTACTTAAAGCAACTAGAAATAACTTTTTCAACTATAAATTTGAATGTAATAATAAAATTGCAGAAAAAGTTCATTTAGAAAAGTTCTATTCAGCAGATAAGACCCGAAATATTCGTTTAGCACCTAAATTAACTGATATTCATCTTAATCCAAATTCATTTCAGAAAATGAAAGTTAAATTTGCTTCCCAAGTATTTAGCAAAACTGTAGCTGCTGGAATGGAAACTTGTATGTTGACTGGTGACTTATCAGCTGAAGCTATTCACACAATTGATTTTATTAATTCCATGGATAATCTTTTTGATATATTCAATTCTCGACCAAATTCAACTGAAATAAATATTGAGGAAGAACCATCCAATTCCAAATGTTTTTGTCTACCTTTTACTGGTGCTGATTTTCAAGTAGAATTCCTAAAATCAATGTTTGAATATTTTAAGTGTTTAACTGTTAAACGTTATAACACAGTTAAAAATGAATGGGTAGTTATTAATAAAAGTTTTAACATAAAATTCATTAATGGATGGTTAGTATCAATAGCAGGCTTATTAAGACTTTTTCAAAATTTACAAAAAGAACATCCTAGAGATTTAGTACTATTTACTTATAGAACTAATCAAGATTGTCTTGAAAACTTTTTTGGAACTTCACGTATGCAAAATGGAAATTGTATTAATCCAACTCCCATTCAATTCCAACGTACTTTTAAAAAACTTTTTTCCTTAAATGTTTTTGAACACTCTGAAGGAGCTAATTGTATAGCTGATTTAGATGAAATTTTAACAACCATTAATGATATACCATCTGTTGATTTAGAAGCACTTTTTCCAGAAAAAAATCCAATTGTGTTGAAAGCTTTACCTGTTGAGGGATCAAGTTATAAAATACTCGAACTACCTGAACAAAATGCCTTAGCCTATGTTTGTGGATATTTAATAAGTAAATGTATTGCAGTACATAATTGTGACACTTGTCTCAATTTTGGAAAGGCCACTACAAATTTAACAAGTGAAACGTTTTATTGTTTGTTAAAAAATTATGAACAAGATACTTCATCAGTTTTTGGTAAATTCATGATGCCTGACTCTAGTTTTTACCAATATATTTTTACTCTGGAATCAATTTTTGATCAAAATTTTACTTCCTTTGCTGCAAGACCAAATGTTGGTCAACAACTTCGTTCTCTTATGAACGATGTTTATTTGATTCATCCTTGTGAAAATTTCCCTAGAACATATCTTATTAATTTATACCTAAGGTTTAAAATTTTCAGTACTCTAAATAGAACAAACAAAAGTATTAAGTCATTAGGTACAGGTAGTCGAAGTAGAAAATTACAAATATTATCCAATATGTGAATTATATTAACTTGGTGTTATGATGGTGCTACGTGTTTTAAACATTCTCACATTTAAATCTGGACCTTGGGTCAAAGAAGGGCCAATCTCACTTTTAATCACTGGTAGTAATTAAGAATAAAGCTTCTTTTTTTTTGAAAATTCATAGCAATTTTTTTTTATTGTTTTTGTTTTTGTGATGGATGTAAATATAGTTGACTCTACATTTTAGAATATGGTGTAAAATTTTTAGTTAAATATTGAAGGTTTTCTATAGAGTTTGGCACTATAAAATCATAATTTTCTATTTTTCACTTTTAGTGAAACTACTATAAGGGCCAAAGTTTGATTGTTTTTTTCAATTATGATTTTATAGTGCCAAACTCTGTGCCATACTCAAAACCTTCAATATTAACTAAAAAATTTACACCATATTCTAAAATGTAGGGTAAACTATATTTACATCCATCACAAAAACAAAAACCATAAAAAAAAAATTGCTATGAATTTTCAAAAAAAAAGAGGCTTTATTCTTAATTACTACAAAGTGATTAAAAGTGAGATTGGCCCTTCTTGACCCAAGGTCCAGAAATATTGATCATTTTTATTATTATTCATGAATGTATAAATTGTTATTTTGTGCTTTATAATAAAAAAATATAATTATATACTTATACAAATCTTTTTATTTCACTAACCTTTGTAATATAGGTATGTTTACAAGTTAAAGACATTATATTAAAATGTACTATATCGGATCAATTTATTATTTACTCTCTCGAGCCAGAAATATTGATCATTTTTATTATTATTCATGAATGTATGAAATTGTTATTTTGTGCTTTATAATAAAAGAATTTAATTATATACTTATACAAATCTTTTTATTTCACTAACCTTTGTAATATAGGTATGTTTACAAGTTAAAGACATTATATTAAAATGTACTATATCGGATCAATTTATTATTTACTCTCGAGCCAGGTTAACATCCAGTTTTTGGAAAGAACGTCATTCATATTTAGTGAACGATATGCAAACGTCACTCGGTTTTTCAAACTGTACGTGAACGACGTTTATATTTTTAATAAATTTGATTGATTTTAATTGATGATTAATTTACCATTTAATAAATATAATATAATGTATAAAATATATTAATTAATTATATTATAATAATAATATGTTCACATTATCTCAGGATAATTCGAGGTAAATCTGGTCAAGTCGTATAATATGTTTATGGGATTATATAATGACTGCACATAAACGATACATAAGTAATATAAATAATACAAAATAGTTAATGGGTTTAAAACATTATTATAATTTATATTTTATAATCTAACTATTTAATATTTATTATCATAATGGTATCAAATATCAACAGTATCAACTATTGAAATATATGATAAGAGCCGTCAGCTGATTTTCATATTTAACAAAATGGCAGTGCCCATGAGTTCAAGGCCATGTCCCCACTTTTTTCAAATAACATTAGGAATTGTGAGAGTGTCGTACCCCTGGTCCCGTGGTTGATACTATTTATGCTGTTTTTGAATTATGAATACAAGTATTTGCTTCAGGTCATGACTAAATGCTTCAGGTATACACAGTTCAACAGTTGTAGTATAATTGCCTCAGTGCTTAGGTCATATTATACGTATATTTCTATTTGTTGACCGATTGTTCGTATATTTAAATACTTGTCAATGCGAGTAAAGTGATCGACATTCAGCTGAAGTGTGAACTAGATACTTACTAAATTGCGAAATTTGTCAATATTCTTATTCGCCGAACAGCACTTATAATATTTGTCACTGCTAATGCTAAATTACTTAGTAGTTCGTAAACAACGCGAATCAACATGTTTAACTACCGAACATTGAAACTTTAATGTTATGGTTCATCTCAGTAGATCGATTATGTTTATACAATCAATATTTTGTCAATAGATATATTATAAAAGGTTACCGTTTTGGATAAGATTTTTTCAAAATTTTCTTTCTAATTTTTTATTACGAATTTATAAACGTCCGATCTTTTGACTTTTACAACAATGGATTCCAAATCAAAAAAATACGAAATTATTGAATTTTTGGGCGAAGGACAGGTAATATGAATTTAATTAATGTATTTCTTTTAAATATTAATATTCATGTTTGATAATATAGATGAAATACTTGTATAATTGTAAAACCAACTTAAAATAAGTTATATTATTTAGAAACAAAATGATAATAATATTTCTTAATTTATTCAATTTAGTTTGCCACGGTGTATAAAGCTAAGGATTCAGCCACCGACAACATTGTTGCTGTCAAAAAGGTAATTTTGATTAGACTTACCTATAGGTATAGCTGTACAATAAATCATTTTAAACGATTGTTTTTTCCTTTAGATTAAAATTGGTACTGTAGAAGACGCCAAGGATGGTGTTAATCGTACAGCTCTCAGAGAAATAAAACTTCTTATTGAACTTGATCATGAAAATGTCATTGCTCTATTTGGTATACGATTGAAGAATTTAATATAATATAATCAATTTAGCATGTATTTTTATCTTTGTTTAAACATTTTTTTTAGATGTTTTTGGTCATTTGTCAAATATATCTTTAGTATATGATTTTATGGACACAGATCTTGAAGTCATTATTAAAGACTCATCAATAGTATTCACTCAGTCCCACATTAAAGCGTATACAATAATGACACTCAAAGGATTGGAATATTTACATATGAATTGGATTTTGCATAGAGTAAGGATTACTTTTAAATCATCAATTATATATAAAATTTAAACCACGATACTGATTTATTACAGGATTTAAAACCAAACAACTTATTAGTGAATAAAAAAGGTATATTAAAAATAGCTGATTTTGGTTTAGCAAAACGATTTGGAACACCGGATCGCTTGCACACACATAGGGTAGTCACTAGATTTTATCGAGCGCCAGAACTGCTATTTGGTGCACGTGCATATGGACCTGCTGTTGACATTTGGGCAACTGGCTGTATAGTAGCAGAACTTTTACTTAGAGTTCCATTTTTACCTGGTGAATCTGATTTAGACCAGTTAACCAAAATATTTACAACCCTAGGATCGCCAAATGAAGAGACTTGGCCGGTAACAATCTTAAATGATTTATATGTACAATTATATGATTGTATATTATACTTGGCATATTCTATTAATGGCCCAATGTAATTTCATTTGTTGAAATCTATTTTCAGGGTGTTGCTAAATTATCTGATTATGTAGTATTCAAAAAATTTCCAGCAATTCCTTTAAGAGAAATATTCACAGCAGCTCCAAATGAATTACTAGATGTAATTGGTGGTATGCTTAATGTTAATCCATTAGCGAGACCTACATGTTCTGAAGCATTACAAATGCCATACTTTAGGTGAATAAAAATAGGAATTACAGATTTTTAAACGTTTAATTAACTTACCCATTTACTAATCTTTTATAATATACATTTTCAGTAATCGACCACCACCTTCTTTAGGTAGTCAACTACCATTACCATCTTGTATCAGAGATAGTAACCCAGAAGATCTGGATCAGGATGCTAAAGGACAAAAAAGGAAATTCACCGATTATTCAGAAGGAGGTAATTATAATTTTAACTAAATATTGTCAAATGATTTTAACAAATTTAAATGACCATTAATTAAAAGTATATTTAATTTTACAATTAAAAATTAAATTAATATGTTTGATTTGTTTCAGGAACACAACCAAAACGTTTAGTCTTTGATAACTTTGCATAAGTATGTTAAGCATACCAACAAGAAATAATTCCTTACATTAAAGTTGTATATTATATTTTTGTACACATTAAAATTAATTTAAATATCATCATCGTTGTCATTTTCATTGGTTATTATAGAAGGTATACATGATTTATCTGAAAGAACACCATTTTCAATTAAGAAGTTTTCAACGTCACCGGCATAAAAGTCATCTCCTAGTTCGTCTGTAATTCGTACAAAATTTCCAACAAGTTGTCCCGCTCTATATGCAAGTAAAGCTGGAACTCCACACATTTTGAAGTTTAAACTCATACCAGCACTTGAACCAATTAGCTTACAAAATTTTGTTTTTTGAAATTCGCGGCATAGAACTTTCAAACATGAGTTCATGATTGAACACGTTGGCACATTGTGTTCATAAACATGCACAATAACAGTTACATAGGGATTTTCATTCTCGACTGCAACTAAAAAGTCATCTCCAGTTAATAAATCAAAGACTTTACCAAATTCCGGTGCTTCTTGAGTCTTGGCCATCATTTCCTTCATCCGCTTTTTACGGTATTCAGCTAGGAATTGATCATCTAATTCTTCAGCCTCTGACTTACACGTTAGAGCCATATCATTTATCTGCTTTAATACATCTTTTTCACGCTGTATCCTCTGGGCAGACTGCTGTCTTTTGTATTGTTCCCAATCGTTAAGTACTCCTTTTGGTCCAGTGTTGGACGATGTCCCGTCCCAGTCTGACTTTGACTGTTTGGGAGGATCCCTGTCAAGCATTGGCTCATCTTCGTCACTGCTACTACAGTAGTAATGCAGTTTTTCGCCCAGCAATTTACTTTCTAAATCTGCCATGGTGAATAAATGAATGAGGTAATATTAAATCACTGTGCAAAGGTATAAAATACCTATGTATAATACTATATTATTTAATATCTTTTTTACGAGTACAATTATTATATTTTTAATACTTTAATCCCCAAAACTTAGGGTCAACTGTCAAGTAAACAGTAAACATTAATCAATACTGTTTAAATGATTATGTTATCACGGTAACACGGCATAATACGTTATTTTGTGGTAGCACCATAGAATATAATGTTCTATGGTAGCACTGATCTATCCTGTGGCGCTCCCTAGCATAGGCATGAAAATAAATTATTTATTTTAAAATATTTTAAATTTTCCAATAATTATTAATTAATGTGTGGGACATAGACACATAGTTGAAGTTGTAACTGGTATAAATCAATTTAAATTTGCTATAGTGAAAAGTATCGAGTATTTCAATTTATTATATGATTAATGATTATAGTTTATAACACCAAGTCACCAGAATAGGTATATGGTAGTGGGTACAACAAAAGTAATGTTAACAACTGGATAGGAATATAGGATACTATACTATTGAAACTGAATTTGGAACACTCGACTCACTTGACTCACATACTACATAGAGGCCAAAAGGTGATAGAAGCCTAGAGAATCGCGAATTTCATTCAATTATTTTGAAAGTGATGATAAATAATCAATATTTTGAAGTACATACTCTTTTCAACTTTTGGTCGGAACTTGCTTTAGCTCACGTTTGTGGGTAATCGGAAAAAAAATCCAAAAATCCCCAAAACCAAATACTTTTATACCTATAATTGTACAACATAAAATATTCATCTCGCTTTAAAATTAAAATATAATTTAAAGCCTATAATGATATTTCCTAGATTAAAATCTTAACTTAAAATAAATTGAAATTAAATATTTTTTGGGCTGGGGCGTTGGGCTATATAATATGATTGACTATTAAATGATACTTTAATTTTACAGTTAAATCTAAACAAATTTGTTACTTATATAGTCGTTGAAATTCCCTCCCACTAAATATAAAAAATTGCTGTGTTATTAATTTTAGTTTGGCTAGATAATGTTATTAGTTATTACTTTTAATTATAAAATTGATAATTTTAGTATATTACATATTAATATTTCAGTTCAAAAATCATTTAGATGTTACTGATGTTAGAATTCATAAGTAGGAATACGATTAATTTTAAAAATATTAACTCATTTATAATATAATATTATTTAATTTCAGAATAATTTTTGTTAAATTGAGATTCAATTTACTGTACTTTTAATTTTTATTACCAAAGGGTATACCTACCCGTTTCTAAATAAATATTTATATAGCAATATCATATAAAATAATATATTAATATGTACTTATTTATCAATCTGACAATAATATAATAATTATCATTCAAATTTTATATATTTTTATTATTACTAATTATTGTTTTTGACAGTTGTACCCAACAATACGGTTAGGTATAGCTTAGGGGATTTTTTCGATTTTTCCCAGATTCTGTTAGTATGTTGAATGCTGATGTGTCTTCTAAGGATATCCGATATTTATATTAGTACCTATATACAAGGCTGAGCAAGTTCATTGTTATTTTTTCAATTAAATTAAAAATTAAGTTAATGGACATTTTTAATACATCAATTAAATTTAAAACATTGTTGACAAATACCATATTAACTATTAACTTAACTTATATTAATAAGTTATGCTAAAAATAAAAATGTAGGTAAGTTTACTAGTCACTGGTGATTTTCTGTAGACTGTAAGTTGGTGGATATTATTTTTCAACCCATTACCGATAAATCATAATATATAGTTATATCTGTGATATACTCACATTAAATGGGACTTAATAAGTCTTTGTAGGTATTATTTAATAAAATAAGTGATGGTCACTTGAATAGTGATCATCATTCACAGGTATATATTATTATTCAAACAATCTATGATAATTATTATTGTACTACTAAAAAATAATTAATAACTAATGACTAATGAGTAACGAATAGCTGGTATTGTGATTTATGAATATAATTTTTGGCATATCATGGGGTAATGATGTCTTCATACGGACGACCAATGTTATATTTAATGGAGAGTCGTTGATTTAATTTATATTAGGTTTATTATATTTAATTATTATGTTGATACAAAGATATCTACACCTTATACTCATGTACCAATTACCAGTGTCACATGACAAAACAAAATGTGTAATAAATAAATATAATATGTGCTCAAACCTCCGAGCTTACAAGATTGGTGTTTTAACTACGCCCTAATTATTGATGCAAAAATAGGGATGATCATTGATCGGTACTCTAACATCATATATTTTGCACCACTGGAACTCAGTATAATTTATATATGCAAAACACTTGAATAAATAATTAGAGATATTTAACCTGTAAAGGTATTAATAGGCTCAGATCGTTAAAAATAAAAACTGGTCAACATTATTAAATCTATCTTATACATTGTATTATAATAGGTATACATTTATTAAGTGAAAATCACATTTATGATTCATAGCCCTGAAATGTTTATCGTATGTGTTCATGATCAACTTTGGTTTTATACAGTAAATATACAATACAATTTTTTTAATAACTATTCAACATTTCTGTTTTAATTTTAATGATTTCCTGGGCTTGTTTAAATCTTTTAACTAAATCTTTATATTGTGGACCATCCACAAGCTTATATTTCTCTTGTAGTTTCTGTAATTCCTCGAACTTTGTCAAATCTGATTCATATTCTTTTTCTTTAGTACTGTAGTATTTTTCCAATGACTCAAATAATTGTTTGGAACAGGAAAATTTACTGATGATATCACTCTGCAACTTACTAATAAAAGTGATTAAACAAATTGAAAATTACAATTCAAATGTTAGTTATATCTTACTTTGAATTAACTTTAATAGCATCTACTTTTTTTGATAGTTGTTGGGCTTCTAAAATATTAACATTGCTACTATCTAATAATGTAAGCATTGAATGTTGTATATCTTTTTGATTATTTGTATACTTATTCAAAAGAGTCAACATGTTATTTAATTTATTTTTTATAGTATCTGGCATAGCTGGTTCAGATTCAATTAACTTTAACAAATCTACAAAAATAATACAAATAATATAGATATTAGATCGTTATGAACATGCACTTTGGTTTAATAACTAGCATACCTGCAGGGATAGATTCTTTTTCATTAGTAATCAGAGCACACTCATTGTGTATGCACTCCTCGATGCATTTATCCAATTTAATTTTATCATCGTCTGACAACTCATTTACTTTATAATGTGATTCTTCATCTTTAAAAAGTCTATAATGAGTAGTTATATCCGAGCATTTTTTTCTTAATTCATCGTCCTCAATATGACTCAACGAGTTTACGAATATGCGTTGTTTAAGAAATTCTAATTCATTAAATCTTATCTTCTCAGTAATTTCTTCTTTCTCGTAAGATTTCTGTTCGGGAACTTGATCCCCGCGAATCATTTTTTCGAATTTTTTCATTTTAAGAGCCATAATATCAGTTCAAAATCAATAAATCGTCAATCAATTCTAAAGCAAATATGTTTGATTTAAAAATAAACTCACAGTTGAATGTTTACAAAATTAAAAAAGGTTAACTGCTCAATTGAAATGATTGAAAAACGGAAATTCAAATCAGAAACGTTCATTATCACTAAGATAATCTGATAATGTAACAATAGATTGTGCTATCTCATAATTCTATGATTCTTGCCATGAAATATGTTAATACTATTATCGTATTATCGTGGTTTATTCCAAGATCTTTATTCCTTCAAGACTGAAAGTTGAGTAAAGTGTACTCACTACTCTGGACTCTGGAGTCGTTGAATTCCGTGTAAATTGTTTATTATTCAATTAAAATCATTTAACATATTCTTTTGTAGTGCCTACAATTATTTTTACGTTTTACATACCGTTATTTACGTGGAAAATAATGTAAGAAAAATATTTATTTGTATTTAATTAATATTCTTGTCAACTGTATAATAGACCAAGCAAAAATATGAAAAAATAATTAAACGACAGATGTTCAAATAATAATGTGGTTTTTTTTATTTTTTTTTTTTTAAAGCATTGAAAATGGAGAACGTCTTAGAAAAACAACTGTTGAAAGTGGCAGAGTCAATTGAGCAAAAGCTTGATCAAGAAATACAGAAACTTGACGAGTTGGATTTAGATAGTATTGAAAACATACGAGAACATCGCTTGCAACAAATGAAAAAAATGATCAAACAGAAGGAAGAATGGATGGCTAAAGTATAAGTTATTTTATTTATTTGTCTATAATTTACTAAGTTATAAAATGTGTTTCTCAGGGACATGGAGAATATGAAGAATTAAGTGATGAGAAAGGTTTCTTCGAAAAATCAAAACTGAGTCCAAACATGGTATTACACTTTTACAAAGATGGATCGACTCGATGCAAAATAGTTGATCATCATTTAAAAATATTATGTGCACAACATTTGGAAACACGTTTTGTTAAACTAAATGTTACACGTTTTCCTTTTCTGACAGAACGCATGAAAATCCGAGTCATACCTACCATTGTGTCAATAGTTGATAGTATATCCAAAGACTTTATTGTTGGTTTTACTGAATTAGGGAATTGTGATGATTTCTCAACCGAGATGTTGGAATGGCGTTTAGCACGTTCACAAGTTATTGATTATAAGGGAGACTTACTTAACCCACCAGATGTAGTCAAGAGCAACCGAACAATGTTATTAGAGAAAAATAAGACAATAAGAGGTTATATAGGAAATGATTCCGATGGTCTAGATTCAGATTAATCTGGTCTGAAATGTAAAACTAATGTACTAATAATATACTTAAATATACTAATATAAATGATAATTTAATTTTTTTTTAACACTTATAATTTGTTAATCTTGTTAACCACTGCTGTTGAATATTTTTTACATTCCTATATGATTTTTCAAATTTATTACATTTAGTGAATATGGCATTTTTTTACCTATGATTTTTATTTTTGATAAACTAATATTATTTTTTTAATTAGTATTTTTAAATGCTCATTTATATTACTTATTCCAGCATAAACAAAAAAAAAAAAACAAGTCATCAGGTTTTTTTAATTTTTTATTATCACAATCATTGTAACTTATCTTATTTAAATCAAAAAAGAAGGAATAATAATTTGTAAGTTTGTTGTTAAATGAAATATAACACACCTTAGTACCCAATGTTTAATTTATTTTTAATTTCTTGTAGACAATAAAATTATTTAATTAATTAACATGTGTTTTTTTTATTTATTTATACACGCTTAGGGCTCAGATTTAAATTCATTTGAATCTTATTTCTAGAATGCTTGACTGTAATGTTGACACTATGCTTTCCAAGATACAAATGGGTTTTAAGCACATACTATGCTCACAACAAATTTGTAATTTTTTAACCTATTTCCAGTAATATAAAAAAAAATATATATATTGTACAAGAAAATAAGGTAATCCGATTTTCAAATTGAACTTGATATCTGAAGAAATCGAGGGAACTTTTTAGTGTTATTAGAACATATTATATGCATTTTTCTAGGGGAATTTAAATCCAGGCCCTATGTATGAACATACAATGTATACAATTAAGATCTTTAAGTATATGTGACGTAGGGGATAAACATTTTTTTATTGGGGTTTCGATAACAAGTCACCAATTTGTAATTAGCTGGGAATTTGTATTAAAAGGATTATGTTAGCAGATCTTTCTACAATTTTCATTTAAGGCTGTTGGAGCACACCATATTTTTTGTAGTTTTAAACCAATAAGCGGAAGATTAGTTTATGTACTTCCCGATGTGTAATTATTATTTTAAAAATATGAATAAGCTCAGCATATCCTTTTCTAGGTTATGTAGGAAACAGATTTTTGATTTTTGTATTCAATAAGGCTTAAAAAAATGTTAAAATTAAAAAAAAAATTTTTATTTTATACACTAACATTCAGTTTTAAAACATCAATTATTTTTCCTACATAACCTAGTAAAGGGGATGATGAATTCATACATATTTATGAAATAATAATCGGGCATCGGGAAGTACATAAACTAATCTTCCACTTATAGCTATTTTGTACCGATTTTAACGGTTTTTTTTAATGATAACACGATAATGGCCCAGATAATGGATTACACACAGCAAGGTTCATTTACTATTCACAAAATGACAAATATTTGCCATTAATATTTTTTCACTATTTCCTAAATTTTACTACTTAAAATATTCTATGCTCCAACAGCCTTAAGCCTGCGACAAAGATTTTCTGGGAGTGACGGAATAATATTAGTGTTTTTTCTAATAGACCCAAAAAATGTACATTGAAATCTGTAGCTTCTTCATAATTGTTTTAATGCCAAGATATTTACGAAGTATCAAGTTAGAAATAAATGGTGGAGCGTTAGTAATTTTTTAATGGGTAATATTTTGGAATACTTGGATTTCATTTTAGCCAATCCTTATATTCGAATCCCATATGCCCAGTCTAGATATGCTTTAGGAGTGATTTATATATTAATTTAGTTTTTAAAGTAGTGAATTAATATTTGAACACTATATTTTTAGAAATTGTGAATGTCTTACTATAACTTTCCTTAAAATATTTAGATCTAAAAGACTAACATACTTTTCAAAATTATTTCTCTAATTGTTAATAACATTATTTTTCTAACAAGAATTGAGAGAATTCAATGATCGACCCAGCGTTATAGAAAATAAATACTAAGTTACCATCACGTACCTTAAAAAGGTAGCTATATTAATGTAATTACTAATTAGTAATAAGTAACATATTATGTTACATTTAGAACCCAACACTGATTTAATAACATGAACATATAAATATTTAATACAGCCATACAGGTAAATTATTTGGTTTTAATAGTTAAACAACATGTATACAAAATACAATTTAATAATATAAATTATAAGTAAATATTAAAAATTTTACACATAATAAAGAATTTGTTTACTTGTTTAATCCAAAACTATGGTACCGGTGTCACTACTATTTTCATCGTCAGAAACAACTAAAAAAAATATAAATATATATAATATATTTCATTTCAACTTATTTAAAAAAAAGTAAGTAAATTCTATAGACTTAGATCACAAATAATACTCTAAGTACTTTTCGGTTTTGGCTAATATTTATTTCAATTCACTTTTGTGGAATAATTTATTTACAACTTGATTTCATAGAATTCTATTGATGTCATATCTTTGGCCCACTACTACATTTTACAAATAAAAAACAGCAATCTAGGCTTCAAACCAAATTACAGTTCTTATTCCATAACTTTGTTTACACTCAATATATTAAAACATAAATCTATCTCTTTAATATTTTCACATCAAAATTTAATTTCATGTTATGAGTTATGACTAGGACCCGGATTTCAATACAAAGTTCATTATTAATTGGGTGCTCTAAGACAATTCATTTTAATTTCTAAGTATAAAGTAGGTATATATATCTTTCAACATTTGTAGTTAAACATGCTAAAAATGAAAGTGAAGTTAAAATTTGGCGGTCGGTATTGGTTCTGAGATTATAGCTATTTGAAGTAAGAGACCCATCAAAAGTGGTTTTGATTTTAATTGTCTGTGAGAACAAGTGACCACAAGTGTTTATGTGCTTTTAATAATTTTGTTTTAACTTTGAGACCCACCCAAGGTGATTTTACATAAAAAGTTGAGGAATGTTTTCGATTTTAATTATCTGAGCAATTGACCACATCGGGTGTTTATGAAAGTAGTAAATACTATTAATTTCAATTAGCTATAACTTTTAGTAAGTCCGACCACCAAATTCTAACTTTACCATCATTTTCAAAATGCTTAACTACTTACGTTTAAACAAAAAAAAAAAGTGTCTAAAGTAAAACAAAAAATTTCCCTAATTTGTTTAATATAACAGATATTTCATAAGACACTCTTATTTTGTATTTATCACGATTTTTCTATATAAAGAGTACAGTTTAATATTTTATTAATTTTTAGTGCATGGGTACATTTATAGTGAGAGGGTATCGATAACCAAAAAGCACTTAAACTTACAATGAATGTAGTGAAAATTATTTTATTTTACAATACTTATAGGCCAAAGTACTTACCAAATTTTCCAATAATTGGTCTAATATCATCTAATTTATAATGGTTAATGATTTCAACACTTTCATCACTTGATGATGATTCACCACTTTCAGGATCAATGACTATCAAATCGTCCTTTTTGTCAACTTTTTTTATATTACTTATTTGTTGCAAATTATTATGAGAAGCCGTGAATGCAGTTCCGTCAGTTATCTTGATCACATCTTGATCAACAACCATTTTTTCTACAACACAAAAATATTTTAAGATGCTTATTAGTTATTTTGATTACAGGAGTTAATAAGTTGGGTACATAGAAAAAAGTTGTACATTTTAACCTAAATGTAATAGCGGAAACAAATCTTCTGTTTTTTTTTTTTATATACAGGTGCATAGCATACAACCATGAACAAAGAAAAAAAATAAGTGGATACTTTTTTTTGAGATTGTAAATAATGGTCAGTGACAACTACATTCAAACTTTATTGTATAGATTTTTTGTTCAAATATTATCATTTAACGGTAAGGTATACATTTATTCCTGTCTTTATAATATAATAATTAATAAGAATATATTCAGAATTGCAAACTAATTTAAGTCTGGTGACTCCATATTCAACCAATTAATATTCAAGAAAAGCAATTTAAAATGCTTACTATTATATAATATGATTTATTTATAAAGTTAGGTTGTAAAATATGAATAATAAACAAACAAAAATTATGTATATATTTTTTTTAGTAGTTTTTGAGCCACACAGACACAGTAAAGATCATCAACTTTTGTTGCCCACCATAATAAATAAATAAAATGCTATACCATCAATTTCTTCCATTATATTTTCTCGATTGGATGGACCAACAAAATGTATTTTATCAGACAAACATAATTTTAGACCATTATCTTCAGAAACTGCTGGTTCTAGGCCTTTAAATGATTTACTAGAACTGTTAGGACATAAATAATGTAAAAACACATACACAAATATTAATTATAGGTACAATGGACAAATTGTTTAATCAAACTGAACTTAAAATTTTGTTCATTAATTAGATTAAAATTAAATTTTTTCTTGAAAACCATACCTATAACATGTGTCATGCAATAATAATTATTGTTTAGAGGTATCAATAAGACCTTCATCAATGTTATAATTTTAAGTTTGAGTAGTTAAAACAAAACTAGACAGTTCGGTTTGATTGACTGAAGTTAAGTATATTAAAATAATCAAAATTATTAATCTTACCGATTTTTAATATCAATTTGTATAGCTGATTTTATTTTATCCACAAGTTTAATAGCCACGGAAGCTGCTTGATTGGAACAGCTCATAAGAAGATTCTGACTTAAAGAAGCACAGCCTTCAATGTCTACACCACACATTTCACTGTGGTTGTTAAAACATATAGATAATTTATTATCACAGACTTTGTCTTCCAGAAGCGATGGATCCAAAATAATAAAATCACTAAAATCAAATCCTTGAACATTAATAATAAAAACAATGAAAAGTACATACAAAAAATAACATACTATTTTTCAAAAATGGCAAAGCTTGCAATTACTGGATGATGATGAAGTGATAGTGGTATAGGATCTCTTTCTGAACTAGAATAGACAACTACTTTTTCTCCTGTTGACACAACATCTGGATACCGAAAATGCATTAATGCTGCTAAAGTTGCAATTGAACAACATCCCAAAGTATTACCATCCATATTCAAAACACTCAAATCTACTTTAATTTTCCACACCTAAAATTATTTAAAAATCAATCTAAGTTTTTACACTAGTACCTATGAATTTATTTTGCCTTTGAGAAAAAATATTCACCAAATAAAAAAAACAATCCCCAGCACAAAAAATTTATTGTTTTACAATTATTTTACTTTTTATTATAATTAACCAACCTACTCTAAATGGCAATTTAAGTAACAGATAAAGATATTATAAGTATATACATATTATCAGTAAGCAACTATTATTCAAATGTAAACAAAAATAAAATAAACTAATAATTAATAATTTTAATAATAAAATATAAATAAATGAGTAAAATGGTGTTATTAGAATATGTACTACACAGCCATTATATTCAGTCCATTTTCTCTTCAATAACACAGTTATTCAAAATCTGAATTTTGGAAGTTTTAAATATACTTAAGAGGATGTTAGCACGCTATTTGTTTTCTCTCTCTGACCAGCGCACAACATACCAAATTTTACGTTCACAATAATGATTTATAAAATAGAGGAAAATAGGAGGCCATCTCTTATAAAATGTATAGATAAGTTTAATATCTAGGGTGTCTCAAAGGTTTTTATTATATTTTAAATTTATAAATTGTGTGTACATCTAAGAATACTCACAACTTGCTTTAAAATTAAAATATAATAAAATGCTTATGAGATGCCCTAGATCAGCGTTTCTCAACCTGTGGTACGCGTACCCCTGGGGGTACGTAAGAAGGTATAAGGGGGTACGTGAAAAAAAAGCGTAATATCGGAAAAAATTACAATTGGTGTATTTTAAATGGTTTGTAATTTGTGAAATATTTAATAATGTGGCACAGCTGGATACTGGATTTTATCTTATCGGGTTACGTAAAGTTGTTCAATACAATGTCAATCATTTGTCTATTAAAAATCCATTAACCATTTTAACCAAAAGAAAAACTTATTGAACTGAAGACGAATTCTTCACTTGAGTTAATATTTGAAAAAAAATCTCTAATCGCTTTTTGGGCTGACGTAAAATAAGAGTATCCTGAGCTTTCAAACAAAGCATTTAATGTTCTGCTGCCATTTACGAGTACTGTATTGGTGGAGAGGGCCTTTTCGTCGTACACGTACATTAATAATAAGACGTATCGTAATAGACTCTCTGTGAGTTCAGATTTACGAGTTTACTTATCATCCGAGGAGCCAGATTTCAAAAAATTATGTGCCAGAAAACAAGCCTAAGGGTCTCATGAAAATTAAATTTTAAAATGTATATTACTTTTATATATATACGTACATTGTTTGGCTAATTAAATTAATTAATAAATATTATTTTAAAATTTTCCATCATCGAACTTATTTCATAATATCTTATTTGTGTTGTGTGTGAATATATAATAAATTGACATTTGGGGGTACGTAAAGCAGTGGTGAGAGGTCAAGGGGTACGTAAATGAAAAAAGGTTGAGAAAAGCTGCCCTAGATAATAATCTTACATTTAAATTATGTAAGTGAAGAGGTAATTCATTCTAATTTTAGAAACTAATATGATTATTGTGAACGTAAAATTTGGTATGATGCGCATGGGTCTGAGAGCAAATAAATAGTGAGCTGACATCCTCTCTAAAGGACCATATTTTCAAATTTTTTAAATAGTTTGTACCTACTAAGGAGTGTCCTGCAGCAATTCAAACTTCTGATCTTTAAATGTGAACCCGTTCTTTTGAGCAAAAAATTATTTAGTAGAGAATTATTTTTGAAAATTTTTAAATGCTTAATTCAAAATCTGAACGAGTAGTCTTTTTTTTTAGTTAGGGGATTATTATCTGGTGAATTTTATATGGGAACCACAATTCATTTATTTACATAAAACAAAAATAAATTGAACATACTTTTTCCTCAGCAATTATACATAAGGCTTCAAGATCTATACATTTTGAATCTTTATAAAATCTTTCCAAGACTTGATTTATTTTTGTTAGATCATTAAGCTTGTTGTCACCAGCTAATTCAGCAGATATTTGTAGAACACCTTCATTTGGACGACTATTGTTAGGTTGATATATTTCACAGCTAACTTGAGCAAAGACACGTGTGCAACCAAGTGTTACTAAACAATTACCCCAGTCAAGCCCATATGAAATTTTCAAAGGTCTGTATTCATCTTTTTTACGACCATCGAGACGCTGAAAACAAAACATTTACAAAAGTATTTATTTAATTTCAGAACATAACAAACTTCCACTGTCCACTGAAATGATTAATAAAAATATGAACCCGAACTTCAAATACGTTATAAAATCAAAATAATAAACTTACTATTTTTTGAGATGCTGCTTCCAATATGAACGTTTTTTCACAATCAGATAATGGATTTACATTCATTGTAAAGATCGTTGTTAGTTGTTACTCGTTACTTATTGCTTATTTGTTTATCTGTGATTTTCCGAATCTGCATTGAGCATTAATGATTAATATTTAATTTGGAAACATTTAAAATTGTGCATAACAGCATTACCTGAAAGTAATTTAAAATTTTAAAAATCAACCACCAAGACTCAAGAGTGAAGATAACATATTTTCTTGGATTTAAATTCAGGCAGAAGATCTCCTCTACACCGGGAATAGGGGGATCTTAGGTTCGGCGTGGCGCGTGGGCACGCCGGCGTGGGGCAGTTCTTCTCTTGAGATCAGAGATAACAGCCCGAGCTAATCACCTGGAAGATACGATATTTTCGGTTTATAACGGCGTATACTGAGGTATAAAACTGATTGTATTTGGATTAATGCTAACCCCAAAAACGAGTTATCATAATTCCGAACCGTGCCGTTTATTGTTTAATGTTTATAGTTTATACTTTGTTCGCATTTCAATTTATTCGACTAATATTGTTTAATATTTTTTTTTGAGGTATACAAAAACTAAAACCTAAAATGTATAAAGTCCCTCAAAAAGTACAGAAGGTAATGGTACAGCCCATTAACCTTATCTTTCGGCACTTGCAAAATCGTGCTAAAGTTCAAGTAAGTATTTCGAACGTATTGAATTAACATAAAGATTTAAGGGAGCAGATCACAGATCTTTGGCATAAAGTTGCCATACGTCCAGGTACAATGGGATGAGTCACCAGTTTATGCTTATTAACTTTGGTGTCAGTTGTCCCGGTGCACCTTAGCGAGTGTCCCGATAAAGTGTAAACAGAATACTAATTAGAAGTTCTAAATTATTTTTATTGAAACACATTCAATTTCACGACCAACACGTTTATTACCAGTTACATTTATCCCCTAGTAAAAGGACCTATTGAATGTGTACTATATATCCTTTTTAATAATAACAATTGGTTCAATCTTAAAAAATTTCCCGGTCAATATTTAAACTTTATGGCTACACTACAACCCATGTCCCTTTATTGTTTTTTGTATACTATATTACTATGCCTAGTCATTTATAATGTATATATTATTGTGTAAGCTTTCAATAATAAATAATATTTTGAAATCTGCTCCCTAAAAAAATTGTAATTACTAAATGACAATATCAAATTTAATCATGTATTCCAATTTTAGGTATGGCTTCAGGAGAAAATTCATTTAAGGATCGAAGGACATATTGTGGGTTTTGATGAATATATGAATCTGGTTTTGGATGAAGCTTGTGAAGTTAACACTAAAGTTGACTCACGGAAACCTGTTGGCCGTATATTGTTGAAAGGAGAAAACATTACATTAATACAAAATATGACTCCATCCATAGGATAGAAACAAAAACTGTCTGAATAAAAAAAATATACTTCAATATATCCTTTGTAATATAAATTCATAATAAAATATCTTAATACTTACAACTCAAACTATGTATAACCTCATTAACCTGCGGTAATATTTATTTAATGTTCAAGAAATCAGAACAACTATTTTTTTAACGGATATTGATAATTTTCAGTCAATGTGATATATATAAATAAATCATTGTATGCCGTATTTTTAAATTAAGCCATTACTCATAATATATTCCCCGCGGATAGGCTTAGGCCCACTGATATGATTGAATCGTTTAAAATATTGGTTTATATTGCTGGTTATGTTAAAAAGGTTGGCAATTGGCTACCATTCTACTGTACAATAGACGTCATGCAGGCAGTGGTGTCATTTGGGGGGAGGGTATGTTGGTAACTGGAGCATTTTCCCCAAGCCCAGTCTAGTATTTAATTTTTATTTATTAAATTTATTTTTTCCAATTATATAGTAAAATACTTTGAACTTTATATTTTAACATTTCAAAAGTACCAATTAGATCCAATTTGGTCTCAGAAACCACTCAAAGCTGAAAATCGAAAAATTTTTTCTACTGTTTTGTACTACTCGTGTATATATACAAAAAAAAAAAAAAAATAAACATGAAATCAATACTTTCATCTGCCGAGAAAAACTGTATTTGCTACTATTATTTAAAAACCGTGGCTTTTTCTTTAACCAGAAACCATTAGGCAGTAAGAAGTAACTTGAAATAATGAAATGATGATGGAATAGCAAATCTGTTATTAGCAAGACCGCGTCAAAATGTCAAATGAGAATAGTTATAGAATAGAGAAAGTTTAATATTTGAGCACGGTCTTAGAATTCAATAATGGGAATTATTGAACCGACAACCTTTTTTTCAATTAGAATTAAAGTTTGAGAACACAAGGTTTTTTTTCATTTAATTGTTAAAAATTATTAGTTGGTGCTATCAAAAAAAAAACCCCTACGACCACACATATAGTCCTTCACTATGTGTTGTGGAATTTTAGTAGCTCTAAAATAAATACAGAGAGTAGTGGTGGTCAAACAGGGCAGGATGAAGAGGATATATCCTACTGTGACCTTTTTTCAATGCTTAAGAGCTGCTAACCATAAAATATTGCATGTTAAAATATTAGGTATATCTCCCCCTCCTGGTAGACAAAATCATTGACCGCGACTGACAGATAGTAGGTACAGTAAAACCTTATAACGGAAAATACCTATGGTCCCGAATAACCTATATCCCGTATACTTTGGTCTCCTTATAACGGAAACTCCTTTATTACGGAAAATCAGTTGGTACCGAGCGATTCCGTTATAAGGAGGTTCTACTGTATATATATGGTTCGTCCCACACAGAACAGATTTTGTTATATTGTACGGAGACATCATATATGGTTGGAGGGTCCTCTACTCCTCTATTATAATAATTTATTTTTATTTCACATTCATAGATATTAAAGATATGGATTGGCCATGACCAGTGGCATGGCGAAAATCTTGGTGGCCTAGAAACAGAAGCCATCCTGTGTGGCAGTGCCAATGGCCCAATGTGATATTGTCCACAAAAGTACAGGAATAATGATTATTATGTTCTGTAAAATCAACCAAATTTACATATTCACACGTTTTGTGTGTGTACACAGGGGCAGACTGAGAGTACTTCGGCCCGGGTCGAGAAGATTTGAGAGGCACACAATTTATTTTTGTATGATCACAAAAATTTGCAGCTCGCTTATCATAGGCTAAAATTTTGGGGGTGCTAAGGGTGTTTAGCAGTGCCAATATATTCTAGGAATAAATAATATCATATAATTCATAATATTATATCATTTTTAATACTTAAAATCTTTTATATAATTTCTTTACGTCTATATTTAGATATTACTGAGACAACAATTTATTTGGTACATTAAATTTAAATTTATAAATTCAACATTTGATGCATAATATAAACACAACTACACAAGTTACACATAGGTACGCAATTTTTTGTTTGTTAACTTCACTTGCTCTCTATTCAGTCGTTCAATGTTTTCAATTAAAAAACGAATAACCATTGAGCATTGACGATAAAGATAGGTAATACAGTATAAATTATATAAACAAAACAATATTGGTCGAATTAAATTAAAATTTGGTAGTCGAAATAATGATTCGATTTTAGCTTTAGTACCTTGTTCGATGGAAAAATGAATATTATTGGTCCATTGGGGAAGTCAACATTTAAAATTCCCAGTTATTTTCAAAAGAGCCGAGAAAAACAAAAAAACAATTAAGGAAAACTGGAAATTTTTACGCAGAATCGGTTTTAAATAAAATCGATTTTAGTTTTTGCTAAGTAAATTAAATTTTAAATTAATTGATTCTATCTCAATAATTTATTTACTTTGCGAGAATTTATTTTCTTTATAAATAGAAAATAAATTCTCGCAAAGAAAATAAATTATTGAGATAGAATCAATTAATTTAAAATTTAATTTACTTAGCATTTATTCTTGATATCACATCTTTATAATGTTTAAGTATTATAAATTACTAGTTTTTTTTTTCAATTTAAGTTAACTTAGCATTTATTTATGATATCACATATTTATAATGCTGAAGTCTTATAGATGAATAGTTTTTTTTTACTTAGCAATTTTTTACACGGAGTTCGACGAAGTGTTTTTGTTGGGATATCAGTAGTTTTTTTATAACATATTTGTATGTACTGGTTAGGTTAGGTTAACACATTTTGTGACATGATATGCAAATATTTATAGGTAAATGGTAAATCTAATATTCTTTTATTATAACAATCGAATGACTGAGAATACGTTTCAAGTATCTCATTTTCATTACTAAATTCAAAAGTACCTAAATAATAACATTTTCCTTGATTTTTTTTCCATTTCAATTAAAATATTTCACTATAAATAGCATTATTAATTTTTAAAATATTTTTTTGTGCACTTTGCATTTTGCATATTGTATATACATGATACAATTTTCCTAATACTTGGATGATGAGGCCCTAAACTATTTAAAAATAATAAAATTGAAAAACAGTTGAAATCAATGTAACAAGACAAAGTGTGGCTAAGTTTATATAGCTCTGTCGTGCCTGGCTAGTACATAAGTCAATATTTTTAATTATGTTGGGAAAATCAGTTATAATATTGGTGTACTTAATAGATGCTTAACTACATAGATTCTATAACAATTCTAGACTTATACAGTGGCATATTTAATTTATGCACAAGTTTATTAGTCCACTTTTCTACGCTTCCATAAAATGTACTCGGACTTTTTGTCCGGCAATCAAAAAATGAATCCGGACTTTTAGTCCAACTTTTTTCATTCCGGACTTTTCGTCCGGGATTCTAAATTGACGTGCTCAATTAATCTGTGTTTCGTGTTTGTAGGAACCATGGTGGATATTGTAGGAATATTGTGATAACCATCATACGGTCGTTGATAACCGCACCGCAGTCCGGACCTAACAATGAATTATCAATAATTATCTTCAAAACATAGATAATGGCATATTATTATCTTGCTTCGAAACAACATTTTGTATTCGTATCAATCGTATCTTACCACTGTACTAGTGCACTGCTATAGTAGACGGTGCTACGGTAGTTATTATACTGTAAACTGCTATAGTTATAGTACTTCGGAGACATTGCGAGGTGCTACACGTTAGTGAGACTTATACCGTCGGACCGTTCCTTAGTTTCTATATTAATTCATTTTATACATTCATTCACAATTGATATTATAATGAATACGTCCACGCAATACAGTATGCGTTGGGATGACTTTTCGTCTCATTTCACGAACGAATTTGTGTCTCTACGGAATGATGAACAATTCGTCGATGTAACATTGTGTTGCGACGATCAATTCATCAAAGCTCACAAAGTTATTTTATCAGCGTGCAGCCCTTATTTTAAAAAAATACTCATGGTACCTATTATTCACGTTTGTTTTAATAATTAATTATAATTGAAGTATATTTTTTTTACTAATAACTATTAACATCCATAGATGAATCCATCAAAACATGTCACAGTTATAATGCACAACGTGGAATATGAACTCATGAAGACCTTGGTTGACTTTATGTACTTGGGAGAAGTGCTCGTAAATCAAAATAATGTTGATAGGTTTTTTAAATTAGCCAAAACATTTAACATAAAAGGATTTCAAAACGGATTCAACAAAAATGAAGTTAGTATTAAGATATAAGTTTGAACAATAGATAGTAACTTCATACATCCACGTAATGATATTTCTTTTCTGCTAAATTTAAGAACAACAAAATGATTCCTTTTTAAATACATTTTTCTCTTTAATTTCTTCAACTCAGTAATAAAGCTGCAATACCAATAAGGCAATAAACCGCTGATTAATATATACTACTAAATAGTTGGTTCTATACTAAGAAATATCTATAAAAAAAAAAACTGTTGGATTAAAATAACAGTTATGCTGAATAATATGTCGGTATACTTACATAATAGTTTTGTGTACTTATTATTAAATGAAAAATAAAATATAATAATTTTCAAAACCTTTTTCAGACATCAATTTTGCCTTCAATATGTGAAAATGTTGAGCAAGATGTGCCAAAAAACGATGTTATTGATTCAATGGATAACCATGATGATGGATTATTTGCTAATCAACTAGATCAACTCAATCAACTTGTGAATCCCAATGAAATAATTGTATGTTGTAATTAATTAAGTGAACAAAATGATTATTATTATTTTTTATGTATTACAGAAACGAAGGAAAATAGAAACAAATTATTGGCAACAATCTACTGAAACAACTTCATCAACACAACCTGAAAAACAGAGGTGTCATTCATTGGATCCACGACCATGTCCAGAGTGTGGGCGTCAATATAGCAGTTTATCTAACTTAAGGCAACACATTGAATTAATTCATAAACCTGGTTGTGTTGTCTGTCCTTTATGTGGTAAAACATTCAAAAATAAGCTTTACCTACGGCGGCATTTTATTAGTTTTCATGAAATGTTACCATCCAAAGTACAAAATACATCTGACCCAGGTACACCTTACACTTCAAATTCATTACACTATCCATCTGATCAAAACCAACAGAGAATACAAATAAAAGAACAGTCAAATAGCCAACAATTAAGTTCCACTTGTTTTGATCAAAGTATACATCCCCGTTAAGTAGAGCAAAATTACAAAATATGTAAAGTTGCTTTTTTTTTTTTTTAAATATTGTTATTGTATTATTATTGAGTATTATCAAAGGCCAAAGGTTAAAGTGTCTTATTGAAAATTAATTATTGTCTTTTTATGTGCAATTATATTTAATGTAAATACTTTATTCTTTATTAAAATGTATGCTATTTTTACAGGCACATGTTCAGCAGGTTTATAGGACCAAATCCCCAGAAAACTTTTAATGATATACATTTTTGATTTTTTTAAAAGTATTATAATAATATTTGGAATCAAAACAAATTCTCTTGAATACAATTCTGACTATGTGCCTGATTTCATGATCTCTAAATTAAGTATTACAAGGTGTATAGCTATACAATTTCTATGCAAACTAAGAATTATATTTAGCCCGTATCTAATATTATTTATAAAACCATTTAATATGGTGCTAATACTTGTTATCCAAATATATTATAATATTTAAATCTCATAGTCTAATCAATTTAAGAATGAATGTAAAATGTTGTTAGATACTTTTCGTTCTCTACTAAAAATATATAATGCCACTAATATATTAATAACAAATAGCAATGTGTCACATGTCTAACCCTTTTTTGAGTGACTAGACAAAACCTAAAGATCTAGATTATTTATATATAATTTATAATTTATTATATTATATTAATTTAAAAATTAAGGTGTATAGAAACTATAAAACAAAAGTATATTAGTATATTATTATTTTATTATTTCTTCAGTCAAAAGTTAAATTTCTTTTTAAAATGTATTTTCATGATTTATTTATGTGTTAAAATGAGTTTGGATAATGAAAAATTATGAACATGTCCAGAAAAAATTGTATTATACAATTTCGAAACTAATGATTATTTAAAAACCAAAACACAATCATAACTCCAGTTGTCCAACTATGACATTATACCATGATCATTTGGCTAAATGTATACGTTAAAAATTTTAATATATTTTTTAATTGTTTGATTATTCTACAATATCATAAGCTTTTATAACATTTAGAATTCCATATAATAGCTCCAGATTTACAATTTTGATTATTTTATTTTACAAATACCATTCTTTTAACAAAAAGCCACAATTTCAAAATTTCAAGATTTTGGCATAATATTAAAAACTTTTTTAGTACCTATGTCACAATCAAACCACACTTTATTACAAATTATTTTTGGCCTGCCATTTAAACCTAATTTAATCATTAAGTATAACCGCTATAACTATACTAACTATACTAGTAATATCAATAACAGTCAGAATTATAGTTGACTTTATCTTTATTTTGTACTTAATCTGTAATAAATTATAAATATATACTCTATTGAAAATATGTTCAGTTACGGGCGGCCAACTTGTGGATTTGTTCTCTCGGTCAACATGGTTGGGGAAGCCAGTTGATGTTATAAAACCGTCGCTGTCCTGTACTTATCTCATTTTGAATTTTGTATATAAATATCATATATACACTAAAATATGATATGTTTGAGTTAATGTTTATCATATAATGTATTGTGAACTTATATTGTATTATATTGTTGATTAATTTTACTTTTAAATAGTTTTAATTATGTTATTTTGTATGTTTCTTGATTATTATATTAATAATATGGTTTAAAAATTTAAATTAGTGAACTACATTTGGGAATCCCTTTAAAGTTACTTGTATAAGTTGTAAATTATTTAGGTAATAAATTATATAAATATAAAATATAAATTAGTTATTATTATACTTTATATTCTATTTTACTTATTAAATTGAAAGTATTTCAGTTTACTTTCCTTTACCAATTTTTCAACATAAATGAAATTGAAAAATGAATTAGATGAACAAAAGAAAACATTTTTGTTTTCAAGCAATCCATCATGGTACATGTCATATATGATAATATACAATTCCTAAATTTACCACCATCATCATCATTAACAACATCATCATCATCATCATCATCATCATCATCATCATTAACAACATCATCATCATCATCATTAACAACACCATCATCATCATCATCATCATCATTATAATCTCATCATAGCACTTTGGTCCTTAATCACTTTTATGGAAAGAAATCCTTGAACCATGAAACAAGTTAATGGTACCCATACATTTAGGTACATGAATAACTAAAATGTACACAATGCTGCAATGTAAGTAGCAGTGAAATTTTCGGGAATATTCAATGGGGGGGTTGTGGATAAGTTTTAGGAACATATGAAGGGTATGTCGGCTATCAGCACATAAGAAAACCACCAATTGGGTGGGGGGTTAAACCCCCACCTAAGAGTATGCTCGCAGTATGTAGTAGCAGAGTAGTAGATAGATATCCAACAATATTAAACAGGACAAATAGTTAGAAAAATAAAATTGGTTTAATTTGATTTAACAGGTAACATATTACTATGTATATAGTTAAGTTTATTAGAAAAATGAACAGATTATTACCAGTATTTATAACTAATATTAATATTATAGTTATTTGATTTCAATAAAATAATAAATTTCAATAAATAAAGTAATTAAATCTAAATTGTTAAATATTCTTGTTACATGTTTCAAAACAACTTGAACTAAAACTATTATTAACAGATCAATAATTTTGATACAGACAATATTAAGAGATTAACCAATAAAGACTAGGAACTAATATTAGCTCAAATTAGCAAAAATAAATCAATTTTAAAATTACATGACTAAAGTGACTCCCTTAAAATCTATGATGGCATGTTGTCATTGTACAATGCATGTTGTTTAGTGTTTTAAAGCACACAATATAAATTATAGAACAATTTTAATATAATTTATAAATAGTTTGTTATGTCTTATGTATTATAAGTAAAATTAAAATATCTAATTTCTATAAAAAAAAATAACAATAAATAATATTAAAAAAAAAAACACAAGAACACACACGTAAAAAAATCTTTATAATAATAACAGTCATGGGTTATTATTTAAGGATATTAAATATTATGACACGTTATATATATAAATATAAAAAAAAAATGATTTGACTTGAGATATTTTTATGGTTCTAAGAGGCTGATACTGAATTTGATCATATAATTATTACCTAATTAATTGATACATTAAATACATATTTGTAGATCTATAGTATATAAAGGATTTTTTTCTATTAATTACAAATCGTTATTTTGTGATGTAAAAAAATGGTCTGCCCAATAATGTAATGGAAAATGATGCTAAATTCAATTTGAACACTTAAAGATGGAGCGCATATAGTGATGTAAGGATAACACACATAAGAGGTATAGTTGCTTTAACATTGTCTGAGTAGGATAAAGTTAAACAATTTACTTATTTTAATTCAAATGTTAGTCACTGAATCATTAAGCAATTACAATATACAAACTAATAAAATTGACTATAATTAATAATTAGTAGTAAATTATATTTTTAGAATACATTTAAACCTTTTTTGTATAAGTTTATAGAAAAATTGACATCAGAATTTAATTTTTGTATGTGTTGACTGCTCTTATAGCACAACACAATATTAATGCTAGAACTAAACCAAAGAACTCAACTGAACCAATTGCTACAAGTAATACAAGGAATATAATCATACTCTTTCGTGAAGTATACAACAATTTTTCAGTGCATCCCTGGAAATAATAAATTATTTTTAAAATAAGTCACATATTAGATATAATTTTCTATTAAGAAATTGTTAATAGCTATGTAAGAAAAAACTGTATAATGTAACAACTATTTAAATTAATAGAATTTTAGTTGACATGATTTAAAAATGAAAGGATAACAATTTTTATGAAATTGTATACTTTTAAAGACCGGATTTATATTCTCTTAAAATACCTAAAATATGATGCTAATATTCTCTAAAAAGCCTTCAAATATTCTCATTATATTCTCTTAAAAATTTAATAAATATGCGAAAATAATCAATAAACATCATTATATTATGCTTTAATATGCATTTTTAAATTAATTTTTTCAACATTATTTTATTAGTGAGGTATTAATTAGGTACCTATTAAAAGTTGCATATTCTAATGGAGTACTATTGCAATTTAGTAAAAGTTGGAAATTATATAAAAGTTTTAATTGTTCAAACATTTTTTTCTGGGTACCGTAATATTAAAATTAAAAATAAATACAAATTTTTTCTCTTAATTTACGAAATATTCCAAAATATGTTAAATGGTTTAAATATTCTCTAACCCATTAAATATTCTCAAATATACAAAAAAAAACTTTTTTCTACGCATTCAGAATTGAACATTTTTGAACATTTTTTACTCTCATAAGACTGCATAGACCCAGTAACGATATGTAAAAACATATAAATCCGGTTTTTATAATCATTTGTTATGTAAGTTATTTAAGATAATCAAAAACTTATTTAAAAGGAAGAACTTGATATTGTGTTATGTACTATACTTAATACCTAGTATTACCTATGTTATTGCTTATTTCTAAATATAAATTAAATCAATAAATTTCATACCTCAGAATAAATAAATTCAGAAATTGGTCCTGAAGCTACAGCAGTTTGAGCATCTGAACATTGTTTAGGATCACCTTTACAACAAGAAGCAGGAATTTTATATGATTGTTCTGGAGAACTTATTGCAAGTGCTAGACTTTCTGTCTGTGGGTTATTATATTTGCTCCCAGCCCAATCAGATGGGCCTGATGCACCACAACATTCAAACTATAACATACATTTGAAATTATAATTAACTAATATTAAGTTAAAGACATAAATATATAATTACATACTTTAACATTAATCATGTAGAGGTTAATATATTATGATATTAAATTTATGCTCTTTACATAATATATCAAACATGTTCAAGTTTATCAATATTCTTATTTAATGAAAGTATTACTGTACATTGGAATTGACTTATAAGGGTACTTTTCTGTTATCCTTAGTCCTTACTACCGTAAGTCTCAATTCTGTTATCTCGACTACCACGCCGATGACGCGACTACCGCTCGATTACCTGTTTGCGACTACAGTCATTTCTGTTATCTATGCACTATTGTTAAGAGGACGTTGTACTCAACATGTGTCTCTCCGTCTTACAAATGTACAACATAGCAAAAACTGTTTTGCACGGGAAGAACCCGGAGCGCTACAGTCATAACTAAGAAACAAAATTTCCAACACATAAAAAAGAGAACTTTGGCTGGGCAATATCGTTTTTATTTTTTCGTTATCAGAACTTCAAAAACAGTTATTAAAGTTTGAAAAATACAAATAATAATGGATTTTGAAACAATAAGAACTTTTTTCGTGTAAGTGATATCAAAAAAATAAAAACGATATTGCACAGCCAAAGTTCTCCTTTTTATGTGAAAATGTTGTTTCTTAGTGAAAGACGGAGACGACATATGCAGGTCCTCTTAACACATTATTTTATTTTATTTATTCATTTTAAAATAACTATGAACATTTGGAGTTTACCGAACAGTGAAAAAAATGCCTTTGAATTTTATCAGGAGAAGGGTTTACTTCCAAGACCCCGTGAATGCAAAAACGTTCATAAAAAAAAACTATACATCGCCAAAAATAAATTTTTTTGGAAAGGTAACGTGAAGACAGTATAAAACTAATATTATAGGTAAATTTATAGATAATTGGTTTGAAAATAGTCGTATGTCTTTTTAACAATACTCTGATTTATGAGTGCAGAATTAACCTCAGTTAAATTTGGTGAAAAGCATTTGAATATGAGTCATTGCACGGTTGTTGATTACAACAATTACATGCGTGAAGTCTGTACGATAACAATTAGTAAAAATGAACAAATACAAATCGAAGGACAGGGAAAATTATTGAAAATGACGAGAGTATGTTTTCAAAAAGAAAGAACCATTCTGGAAGGATATTACCACAACAGTGGATATTTGTCGAGAAACTCACGAGACATTTCTAATCCAAGTTCCTAATTGTGTGAAGGAAACGCTTTTAACTGCAATAAAACAATATATAAAGGTAACTATAACCATATATTCAGACTGTTGGCATGGATATGATACACACAAACTAACCAGAACTGGATACACGTATGGTATGGTCAATCATACTTAAAAGATTACTCCATACTCAGCATATTGAACATCTTTGGGGCTTCACTAAATGGAGAAATAAAAAGCACAAGGGACCCAGACGCCATCATTTGGAGTCTTTCCTGGCGGAGTTTATCTGGAGACAAAACATCAAAGGAGAACCATTCGATAACATAATGATAAATTTTTATGAAAATTGGTCGCCAACAATAAAATTTTAGACTAATGTAAATATGATAACTTTTTTTTATTTATACAGGGTGTCCCGTGAGGATTTACCTATTAGCCGTAGAGGGGGACTCGCCGTCCGGACAAAAACCGGTTTTTTGCCGTTTTACTTAATAATTAAAAAAATTATTAAAAATCAGGAAATTAATGAAATTAAAATGTTGAAACGTCAATATTTTCAGAAAAATGAACTCTACAAAATGGCAATCTTCAATATTTTTTTAAATAATTAATTAAAAAAAAAATTTTTTTAACTTTTTTACCAAAACATAAAAAAAAAATAAAAAATTAGTTATTTGTAGTGCTTACCTCTATGAGTCTTAATAAGAAAACAGAATTACGATATCTCTATTATTTCAGGAGATATCGCAATGAGTAAATCCTCACGGGACACCCTGTATATATATATATTTCATATCTTGATGATTTTATGGTAACTTTCAATTTGACGTTTTGTGATAATTTTGATGATTTTATGTTTCATATTATAACTTTCCATTAGGTACTGTCATAATTTATGTGATAACTGATAATAAACGTTATGCTAATATACATTTTAAAATAAATGGCAATTCATGTGTATTATGTATTAAAAGACGGAACTATATAGTCTAGCTGGTAGTATCGGGGATAGTACTATAGTAGTCAAGAAAGCAGAATTGAGTAGTCGCGGCATTGGGCGATAGTAAGGATAACATAAAAGAACCAATAGCTCAACATATTGTATAACTAATGTCTAATAGTAATTATAAATTATAAAATATTTGTTAAAGGCACACCATTCCTGTTATGAAATGTTTTTGTTTGCAATGATTTATGTTATTATTGAATTCAAATAAATTTTATCATATTCATTACAATGACAAGGTATGCCCAAAACATACTATAAAGCAGAGCAGCTCCCAGTTATAAAGTAAAACAAAAAAAATTAGTACAAAATAAATAAATAAATGTCAGCCAATGCTGAGGATTATATTTAAAAAAGTTATAAATATTATTTATTAAAAAATCAATACTTACACCACTCTGTATAGCATCAAATGTTTCTGTACGGCCTTCAATTGAACCATACTCCGATTGAACAGTTGTTTTAACAGTATATCGTACTAATTCTACTAACTTATCATTATTTGCATACATCCACACAGCAGCTGATATTTGAGCCACAAGTACAGCAAGTAACAGGCAGAAATACTGTAATAAAAACACCAATTAATGTTTTCAAATAGAATTCACAAATATTTTTTAATTTTATATTACAAGAACGAGTGAACATTGAGATTCACTTATTGCAGCCGCACAACCAAGAAATCCGACGATCAGAAGTAATGTTCCAACAAATAGAATAAGATATACACCTGTGTAGTAACTGGCTTCGTCTTGTACCATGCTTAGGGAAAATGTTGGATCTACCCACATCCATACTGCAAGCAGCATTAACAGTAGGCCACAAGACTGAAATAAAATAATAAACAAATATGAATATTTAAAATTTTTTAAAAAGAGTTGCTATAGGTATACAAGATGATTTTCTTAATTTTTAAGAGCACATATATAATTTTTAAATTTTATATTTTTTACACATCAAAGAAGAGGTGGGAGGGTGGGTACTCTTATTAACTGTGTGTGCTCTCAAAATCCCTCTGTACGCCACTGAATTATTAGGTCACCTAAATAACCTAAGAAGTTTTATCGGTGAATCTATTACTAGGCATTGAGCTAGTACAATACAAATAGAAGTATGTTATACATGTGGCAATTACATCTACCTATTACACTTCACTACATACATATATTAAACTAATTTTCAGATGGCAAGTACAGTGGAACCTCAAAGTAGAAGTCAAAATTCAAGGGAAATCAAATTTATTTTGACTTATTAAGATTTTGACTTGTCGGGGTTAAACTGTATTTAAAAATGAAATAATATAAAGATAAGATATAGACATATTATATACAGATAAATCCTCCATAACTAATGTATTTTTTCAAAACCTCCTACATTACATGTTATATTTACATACCAAATTAAGAACAATTATTTATACCATGTACAATTATCATAATTCATTGCTATATTTATTACCATTTATTATTGCAAGAGACTTAAATAGTTATAAATAATTATGGAGCTGCGTCACAAAAATTAAAGATAAAAATATTGAAATAAAAGCAACAGCTGTGATCCAAATATGACATAACTTTTGCATTTAAAAAAGTCTCCGTACCGTATATCACTCAATTATTTAGTAAAATATTTGAGATTTTATGAGCTTAAAACAATATTATGTAATAAAAATAGTGTAGAAAGTAATAAAAAAACACAGATAATAATAACACCGAATGGGGCCGTGTACGGTATACAATTATCCCGTCATCCATAAGCGCGATGACAATATCAAACTTTCCCGCGGACATGACGATGACAATAACATTGACCATAGTCGCGATTTACCACCGGACCCGCGGACAACGAGCATCGTGTCCGCCATGACGGTAAGATGTCTAGATACAACGACGATCGGTACTCACCAGATACAGGATATTCAGTAGTGTAACTACGTGTTTCATGAATGCATAGCAGCCGGTCAACGCCATCTCACCCGTTCAAATGATATCGTTAGCAAATCAAAACCGAAACGACGACGACGACAACGACAACAACGAAGCTGAACTTGTTAGAGCCTCTGTTGACAGCTTCGAGCATCGAGATCGAGCTTCCCTTAAATGGTCATGTGCCGTCACTCGTCAAATTGCCTATCTAGTTCTAGTATCTTATCGGTCTCTAATCTGTCCACTATAGTCAGTGTTGTAGTCCCTTGACACGACTGTCTAGATCACAACAACAACAATAATAATAATAATATTATTATCGTAAACATCAGTGTGTTGATTACAGTGAAGGCGATTGGTGAGTGGGGGGGAGATGATTATTATTATTATTATTATTATTATTATTTTAACCACATAATTCTGTGTTATGACTTATGACCGTGGTCCGCGGTTATTGGGGACATGAAGTCATGAAGACTTTTAAATCATCTCCTAATTCCTATTGATTACTATTTATTATACAAACTAATAATTTTACTAAGCGTGTTGTCTAAAAATTGAAATTGAAAAATGTGGGCAAGTAACAGTGCGTAGGTGTCAATAATTGACAAAATTACTGTCAAAAATTAATACATCTACAATTATTATAGACCGTCGTTTATAATTGCTGTAATAGTGTAACACCTATTTGTTAAATTGTAATTCAATGACAAATCATTGCATAAGAAAAACGATTCTTAGTGATTTGTCTATTGCCTGTACCTATAGTATCTATATTACAAAATAATATTATAATAGGTACTTAATTTTATTATTGCATGGTAATATAGTTTGGTTTAACTCGCATAAGCGTAATTTGGGGGGACTTAGGGCTTAGCCCCTCCCCCCCAAATACTTCTTTAGCCCCCCCATAAGGTGAGCGGTGACCCGAAATGAGTTACAAATAAAATCATTGTTGATTGATATAATAAATATTAATAATTGTTTAAAATAGTGTCACAGATTAATGTATGACATTTTTAAAATTGATAAGAATTTTCATTAAAATCCACAGATATATGTATGTTTAAACTTTAAATATCTGTGTTAAAATCTAAACGACAGCTGACGCTCTGATATAGCGGAAGCGGTTACATTCACGGTTATATATAATTTTTATAAATTAGAAAGCCTACAAATGGCAATGGCTATTGATAGTTTCACAAAAGTAAACTTTGATGAAAGTTCATTTTTCATAGACAACTACAAGGTAACAATTAGAATATTTAAATAATATAATAATATACCTAGTATATTATAAAAAAAAAATTGTTTTATTTTATTTTTTGTAGAAGCTATGTAATGTTAATGTTGTAACGCTTAAATAGGAAATTTAGTAGCTAAGAACTGTATTTTTCGTTTAAATAAACATGAAGATGTTGAGTTGGAAGATTTGAAGAAACTATTATTAGATAAATCTGTCTATCCCAATTTGTACTCATTATTACAAGTAGCATTATCCATTCCTGTAAGTTCGGCTTCGTGTGAACGGTCGTTCTCAGCAATGAGAAGAATTAAAACATGGTTTAGAACTTCTATGCACCAAGAGAGATTTCAAATCTCTCTTTAATACACATATAAAGAGATATATTCAAATACAATTAGTACAGAAAATATTTTAGACGAATTTCCTAAAAAAGATCGTAGATTTTATTTTTAATAATAAAATTCAATATTAATATCCAAATGTATTAATTTTTTTTGTTTTAATTGTTTAAGACATTTGAAAGTGTATTTCATTGTGTTTCTGTATGGGTGTATGGAATGAGAACTGCTGTATGTATCTTTTATTTTAAAAGGAGTATTTAAACTAAACAAATTACTAATAATCGTAGTGTGTCAACTCAATGAAACATAATACAAAAATCCAGTAATACTTCAATAGATATGCTGAAGGGGGTGTGGGGGCGAAGCCCCCCACGAGTCTATTTCATATACATTTGTCCAGCCCCCCCAAGTAAAATCTTCAAATTGCGCCTATGAACGGTTTAAGGTTAAAGTACCTAATTTTTGTTGAAAACATTATATTTATTATATGTCTCCGACTTAATCTCCGACTTGTATGTCACCGACACACTTAAGATTTTTCTCATTACCTATAATACGTTTCTTATAAGTTATAACTTATAAGTAATGAGATATGAGCATTTTTAATTTCCATTTATTATACATGCATAACTCTCTTAAAAACTGAATTATCGTAAAAAAACTTCCAACAAAACACAGAAATTGTTTTTACCATCAAATTTCGTAATAGGTCGATTATCTCTAATTTTTAAGCTAACGGCATAAAAAGTGAATTTCTGAGCGTAAATTTTGTATGTTATGTCTCCGTCTTACAAATGTACAACATAGCAAAGCCTGTTTTGCGCGGGACAACTGTTCTCGCACCATATTTGTTGTGGAACTACCAAATTTTCACAACACGTAAAGAAGAACTTTATCTGTGTAACATCTTTCCCATATTTTAGATAACGTAAATACAATAACAGTTATTTGCTTCTAAACATTTTGTTTTTTCATTTGCTTATAAAAAATGATTGGATGGTGCTATTAAGAAAAAGAGCACGCTGTTGCACAGATAAAGTTCTTCTTTAAGTGTTGGGCAAATTTGGTAGTTCTACAACAAATATGATTGGTGCGAGAACAGTTGTCCCGTGCAAAACTGCAGTTTTCAACATTTGTAAGACGGAAACAACACATGCGTGATGTGTGGCGTCCTCTTAAATAATAATAAATAATAAGTAGTAAATGTTTTTAATGACTAATGAGTAGGTAATAGCTATGTCTTCGGCCAAATGTAAACTCCTAAACGAAAAACCTTTTTACCTGATAATGAAAAATAGTGTAATATCCTAAATAGACATTTTTACCTGAAAAAAAAAAAATAGGGTAATATCCTATACTCCAACATTTTATTTGAAATTTTGAACACACGATTTTGGAATTTAAAAGCTCAAGATGCTAAGAATGATAAGTTTAAAATGATAATATACAGAGTGTAACAGAAAGAACTGACCAAAAAAAAAAAATTGATGCTACTTAAGCATTAAGGGTATAACAAAAATGTTAAAATTACATGATTAGTAAATAGTTTAAGAAATGTACCCATGTTAGCAAATTTCTAAAAATAATATTTTTAAAAAATTTATTGGGTACCAAATTAATTTTATCGAAAAAATATTGATATTTTAAAAAATTCTAATTCTAAAAGTTCTGTTACACCCTGCATATTATACATATATGTATATATATTTATATATTTATTGATAAAATACAAACATTTGGTTAATGATTTATTTTAATTTGATTATTGTTTAAGTTTTTATTGATATAGGTAGCTGAATTGATTTTTGTATAATATTTATTAATGTATTCGTAAGACAGATATTTTATTTTGAATGTCGATAATACGAAGACATATTTTTGATTTTTTTACCTATTTACATAAGGAAATTGGTTTTTTAATATTTAATAATGTATGGTAATTAATTGATTAGATGGTTTAAACTGGAGGAAATTATTAAATTTGATAATTTATATAAGTATGCTAGTTGCTAACAACAGCGGTGCAAGTCCACACTTATCCAGCTTTTTAAAAATTAATTTGACTTTTTTTAAATACTTACCAACTATTATTTTAAAATTGTTCGTAGTTGTTAACATTATGTTTTATAGGAGTCAACACAATATTTTGTAGGAGTTAACACTATGTCTATGTAGCGAGGAGATTACCTACATTTGTTTACCATTGTCCATTCCCCATGTCTTCGTGGGATTGATGTCAGTACTATACAGGTGACTAATACAGAGACGTATTCAGAAATTTGGCGCCCGCGTGCCAATGTTTTTCCGCCCCCCCACCCCTCCACAAAAAAAATTATTAGACTTTTTCAAACTACCGGGAGCGTTGGAGCTTACTTTCCGGTGACAACCCCGAACCCGTTATCGTATCCTTTTTAGAACAAAAGTTAGAAAAAAAAAAAAAGTAGATTTCAAACTTTAAACATTATGTTATTTTTTTAAATTAATCACATTTAAATATTTAATATAAAATAGGTTTAGTTATTATCAACTATAATTACAAAACAATAAATATTTAAAATTTACATATTCAATTTTCGAGCTTTCAAGGAACTAAACTCATTGATTATATCATCATCAGTGGCGTCGGCAGGGGGGAGGCTAACGGGGTGAAGCCCCCCCATTGCCCGTATAATTATTACTTTTTCAAAAAAATATTAATCAAGTTTAAACTGTCAACTATAGTAAATCTCATATATGTCTTACCAGAATGAATTCATTTTTGAAAAAACATTGTATTTGCATACCAATTTTCATAAATTATCTGTAATTTTTCTGTAAAAGTATGAACTATATGTATGAAAGACCTTGTATTAAATTGTCTAGCCTTAGATATACATATTTTATATTTTATGAGTTTTGAACTACAAATTGACCGTGGTTTTGACGAAATTTGAACTTAATAAATGCTTATAAAAAAAAGCCATGATGCCTATGTATTGTTAATATTTTAGCTGTAATAAAAAAACTTACGTATTACATTTTTAAGCTTTTTGACCGGATAATTAATTTTTTATTGACATTCATAGAAGAAAAATTTTAATTAATCAAATACAATCCAATTTAAGACGGTAGGTATAACCAAAGCTTGTTACCAAACAATTTAAATAAATTTTCATTTATTTTTCTCCAATTATTTATAAAAGCGCCAAGAATTTTAAATTTCTACCTCCTAAAAGTACTAACTAGATCCAATTTGCTAACAAAAACATACACTGGGCATCAAAGCTTATGATCAGAGCATTTTTTCTACCAGATGAGTTGAAAAGTTACAAACATTTAAAAATACCCCAAATAATCGTCTGCAATTATTAGACTGGTCAAAATAAAAATTAAATTGTGACTAATTTTCAAGCCCCCCCCCCTATTAAAAAATCCTGCGGACGCCACTGATCATCATAGTCTAAACCTTTTGTAATATC